AGAATTGTGACTTTTTTCTCAGAATTCTGACTTTTTTCTCAGAATTCTGACTTTAATCTCAGAATTCTGACAGCTAACAAACATGTTAGCATCAAGCCATAGCCATGTCTGTTTTAGAGACTAGGTGCCATCAGAATTCTGACTTTAATCTCAGAATTCTGGATCTTAATGTAGGTTGGCACCATGAAGGAAGAGATGTGGGAGCACTCAGCTTCACTGACAAAGATGTGAGTTGTTTGAGGTGGCCAGTGACACATTGCTGGAAAATGACGGAATTAGGCAACTTTTTACGTGCCCGAGGGGTCCCCTCATTAATCGAGGAGCAGAAGGTCATTAAAACAAGAGAGCTAGTCTCTAAAACAGACATGGCTATGGCTTGATGCTAACAAGTTTGTTAGCTGTCAGAATTCTGAGATTAAAGTCAGAATTCTGAGATTAAAGTCAGAATTCTAAGGTAGTGTTTTTTCCCCCATACTAAACTGAAAAAAAATTTAAAAATCAGTTAACTTTTTTTTTCAGTGGCCCTAATCCTCTTCCGTAAAAAATAACTAGAACGCAAAAACAGAAATAAGACCAATTAAATATATATGTTTTAAATATATTCCTTTGTTGTATTCAACAAAGTACTTCAAGTGCTTTGAAAGAGACACTTTCCTATCTTCACAAACATTAATATATGGAGTTCTTGAAACTCTGCCGGGGCTTTAACTGGAAAAGCACATTCAACTACACTGGCAACCGTGATTCCCCAAACACAAAATCAGCTGTTTTCCATTTCTGTTTTCACAGAATTAGACAGAAAACCTTATGGCTAAACAGAATCGAATAGAATAGATTTATTGTCCCTCTGAGCCTCTGAGAGGAACATGAACATTAAAGCGGATCTAGATACACAAAAAATAAGGAAATAGGTGATTGTGCAATCATGGCAAATGTCCAATATGAACACAAAAAGAGATGAAGAACAAGGACTTACAATCCCTGATTCCTAGAGTTAGGGGCTCTGTTCGAAAACCTGGGCTGCATCCTCCAAGGACACGGTCTACCTAGACTGGATCCTTCGAAGTCCTTGAAAATAAGGAGGCCGGAAGAGTTTTGGCTGTGAATCCGAACAGGTCTATCCTTCAGCGGGTTTTACCGCCGTATGCTCTGTTGCTTAGCAATCGTGAAAGTTGACACACAAAGCAGGAAAAGAATGAATACCAAAGTGTTCAAAACTGTTTGTTTATTTATTTCTTTTTTATTGTAAAGTAAACAAAGACTAACAAGAATCCAGAGCGGAATAAAGGTTCCAACCATCGGGAGCAGGAACAAATAAAATCAAATGTAATGATAGAAACCTTAGTCAGGTAAATAACATGCTGCTGTCATTCTGCACATCTCTGATGTTGCTGCTATTTTCAAATACCCATTACTGTAAAAATGTCCATAGCTGCATATTGGTTATTTATTCTCCAGTTTTATATTGTTAAAACACTTTACAGGATTGTATTGTTTATCTTTTAACTCTTCCCTATTATGTTATTCTTATACATTTTTCTAAGGTCCACATTTGTGTGACCATTATCAGTAATCTTTCTGCTGCTGTAAATTTCCCCATTGTGGGACAATAAAGATATTTTCTATGCTATAAAAGGGGTAGAAATATATAAGTAAATCTAAACAATGTATGTGTACAAAATATATCAGCAAAATCTCTAATATTCAACAACAGAAAATCCTTAACTAAGCATATTGTGCAAATAAGCAATAAAAAAAATGTAACTCCTATCAGATTTATAGTTCCCACTGTGCAGATATATTAGAATCTGTCCTTAAATTACAGCCAAACTCATTTACACAGTAACAGATTAAAACGTTGAGATAAATCAAACATTACCGCCACATATCTGACTCAATAACCATTAAAACAACTATTTTCATTAATCTCAGACGGAACTATTAACAGACTTGTATTATATTAAACTGAACTTCCAATTTTCACCACTGTTTGGCACTAAGTAACCTTTCCTCTGATCACGGCTTGCTTGGTCTCGCAATGAATCCTGGGTAAACCAAGGATACCGAGGATACATCGGACCCGTCCTTCAAATCGGGCAAAAAGAAGGACGCACTTCAAGGCCGCATAACGAGGACTCTTGGAATCCGACCAGACCTCGGCGCCGCGCTATGACGTAATCGGCCTTCGAATCTGGCCTTCTAAGGACGCGTCCTAGGTTTTCGAACAGAGCAAGGGTCATGACCCCATCTGAGGTCCTTGATCAATCAATATGGGTTTTGGGATCCACTACAGAAAAAAAGTATTCCAAAATAAAATTTCAGTTTTTGATGCTACTTGTAATCGTGATAAAACAGTTAAATATTCTTTTTAGAAATGTTTATAAACTCAACCAGTAGTTTTGTCAAACTGTGGTTCTAGTTTGTTTGTCAGAAGCTGAAAAGTTTGGAAACCTTTGCTCTAAATGATCTGAAGAGATCATGAAATGCTAAACAGCTCGGGGCATTAAAAAACAAACCATCAGTAAGTGTCGTTATACTGATTGACGTCAAAAGACATTATCACTATTCCTCTGAAGAGTTAAGCAATCAGTAAAATACCCTCCTTCGTGTTTGCGTGTGTCTTTCAGTTTCAAAGCATTTACAGGAACATGTAAGAGAAAATTTCAGATTGCATGATCTTACTACTTTTATTCATTTTATTACTTTGTATTCATTTTATTTTTATTCTGAGTTATACAAATAAAGATCTCCAGCTGCTGCTTTGAAATGTTACTCAGTGGTTTCCGCAGGTCTGATTACATTTTCTATTAAAACTTTATTTTCAATAAAATTCCAGCTTTAAACAGTACAACAGAATAATTCAGCTTTTTAAAATCTATTTACCATTGAACTATCAGCTGGGCCGTGCTTATTGGAAAGCAGTAAATGACCAAAAAGGATGAAAGAACGAAGAAAAAGTCGATTCATGTTCAAAATCTTTCTTTGAGCTGTTAAAGATGAACAGAGAGGAAAGTGGAAGCGAAATATAGCAATAACAAGGCGTCATATTTACAAACCAATATGACTATCTGAAGCTTAAAGGAATAGTACACCCAAAACATGATTAGCCTTCATTTTCTACTCACCCCCATGCTGACCAACACTCTGGAGTACTTTTTTGATATCTCAAATGCATCTTGAGATCTGGGAGGCTTCTTGCTGTCTGCTGACATTCAAATAATGGAGGTCCATGGCGCCTGAGGCAGAAAGGTCCATAAAAGTCCACAAAAAACGTGTCAATATTCCTCCATACTGCTCTTCCAATGTATTCCAAGTGTCCTGAGTGGGTAGCGTCCATAATTTACTCGAAACGAAGTCATTTAGAATGTTTTTAGAGCATAAACAGTAGTGTATAGGATTTCCTAAAAGTGCGTTCACGAGTCTACGGAAACCGCGGCAGACCAAACCAGACGAAAGTGCGCATTCAGCTCGGCAAAGAACTCATGCTCTTCCTCAACACTGAAGTCCTCAGACATTTTTCTTTCGTTGTTTCTTTCTTTGCACAGGTAAACAGCACATTTCTTCTTCTACGCTTGCATTATCTGCAGAGCAGACGCTGAATGCGCACTTTCATCTGGTTTGGTCTGCCACGGTTTCCATAGACTCGTGAACGCGCTTTTAGGAAATCCTATACACTTTTCCTCCACTATACATTTAAGCTTCAGACGTACGATAGGATCAGTTTTCATCTGTTACATCAGGAGTCTGCAAACTTGACTTTGTGGCTTCTATGATAAACTAAATGCCCTCTTGCCGTTTGTTTATTTTTTTATTGTCTGTATGTTGTTCTTTTGCTCACTGCCCCCTGCTACAAAATAAATTGTGTCTAGAACTGCTATTCCTGCTTTCTGAGATCTGGCCACTGCCTCTGGCTTCATAATAAATGCTCATTCACTACTTCCTAAAATCCTCATCAAGCTGTTAGATAGGAAGCAAATAAATACCAAATAGCTGTTTTTATAGTCTATATATATCACATTGGTGGAGGTTTTGTAGAGAATGCAGAGGCGGGAGATGAGGGGTCCGTTTCAAGAAGCAGGTTAAACCAACAAATCCGCAACTCTAAATTGATCTGGCCTAAGGTCTGGAACTCTGAGTTCTCTGTTTCACAGTATATGAAGTATATGGCAGGCCGTTTTTACATTTATTCAAAGCACTGTCCTCTCTGTATTTACAGATCACTAAAATAAGATTTTTCATGATCAAAACCACATTGCTAGACTGAAATGTAATATGATATAATTTTTTATATGAAATTTCTGAACCTACTAAACCTACTAGTAAGAATTAGGATTTATATACCTAGAAATGTTTACACATTTTGTGGCCATTTTGTTATTAGCTTGACTGAATACATATCTATCATTGGGAATCAGTGGTGGCCTAGTGGTTAGAGCATAGAGCTTTGAATCCTGAGGTTTTAGGTTAAATGCAGAGGTAAATTTCGCCAATGTGCAATCAATAAAGTTCAATTATTATGATATCTGAAATACATTTCTTCATAGTCAAAATAATACAAATGCTGAACAGTATCAATAGGAAAATGGAGATCCTAAATTAATTTTTAGACATCCAAAATGTTTATTCTAGATGTGAAGAATGCCATTTTGTTTGAAATTTAAATATCAGCAATACATATTCAGGAGGAGGAGTATAAATGCCAAACAGAACAACGAATGGAGTAATCAACTATTTGGGAGCAGGTGTGGACAGAAGTATCTAGAAGGGAGCTAAGGGAATGAAGAATGGCACTAGGGGGCAACAGAGAGTAACCAAGAAATACAACAGTGCTTAAATATACCTAGCAAAAAGCATAGTGTTACTGAAAGCCCAAAGTGAAAACATGGAATAGAACCAAAATCCTAATCAGGAGATCATGACAGTATGCAGGTTTTCAGATACATATTTTTAAAGAAATGATTAAACTATATATACTGAAAATAATTTCCAAAACAGCAAATTATACTACAAAAAAAACTTTATTAAACATTACAACATGTACATGTCTGGTAGATGATCAGAACAATCACAGTATTACAATCTGTTAAGTGCATGTGTGTATAAGTTCTGGGGAGTGGACGCCTAGTAGTTAGGAAAAAAAGCTTGGAATCCTGAGGTTCTGAGTATGATTCCTACTCCCACAGACATCAACTCTGGGTCTCTGAGCAAGACCCTTAACCCCTGATTGGTTAAATATTCAAAACTTGTACCAGCATTAACAAAAATCTGATATATAACAGTTTGCACAATTCAATATTAATGTTTTAGTTGATCTTTTTTTCTTTTCCATTATCATTGACCTTGGAGAGGCGATTACATCAACCGTGATGTTTTATTCAAATGTCTTAATATCCACTATTTGAACTCTGTTCTTTATCGAGGGAATGTTCTCATTCTGATGCAACAAAAGGGTAAAACAGTTTTAAGTATTAACAAAATTTTAACAGAAGTTTAACAAAGAAATTGATAAGAAGCCTATTATACAGAGGAAATTTTTGTCACTTTTGGCCTGTGTTGATCACAGCTCAATGTGAACCCTCACATTGAGCTGCATATTCTGTCAGGATATGCAGCCGTACGTACCTACACTGCAACCCAGGATTCACGCTACTGCTTAACGTAAAAACCCAGACAGTCCTAATGATAAAGTGTTGGAATGTCCATCCGGCTTACTTGCACATTTCCAAGTTAACGCAGCATGTTCATAGACATTCACACAATGCGCAGTAACTAAAAACGGAAATTAAACCTTTAAAAGAAATTAACCTTTAACACCACACATGTTTTCACTATGCTTATATCTAAATAACTGCCAAGCAAAAACAGAGCCTACAAATACTTTGTCCTTAACAATAGCTGCACTTAAACCCATTTCAAACAATTTAACCACATTTTTAAAACAGAATTAACCCATAAGAACTGGCCCCATTTTAACACAAGTTTTTGTTTACTTTAGATGATCTTAGTGCATTCTTTAAGCTCCTTTTTATAAAAAAAAAAAAAAAAAAAACTTTGTCCAGCAGTTTACTATAATGTTTTGTTTTATTGAAAGACATGACCTTCAGGTTTGATCTTGTCCTGAAAAGTTTGTGGTTTGACTCTTCTTCTTTTTCTTCTCTGTATTCCAGTTTCCTCAAATATCTTTGAATATGTGCCACCGATAAACTAAGACTTTTCACTTTATCTACTGCAGCATCATTATTTTGTGAAAAAAAAAATGCAAAACTTGCACTTGTTCTTTTGGAGCCCCTCTATTGGCTCGACAGCAGCAGACTAATAAAGCATTTAACTGACAGTTCCACACTAGCTTTATACGCTAAATGCATATCTGCCCTGCATATATGCCGTCTGTATACATTTGATATAATTGTAAATATAACTGAAAACAATTGGCATTGCTGTTAATTGGCTTCTCTTTGGATTGGCTGTGCATCCAGCACCTCTGTGATTTCTTCCTCATGCTTAGTTGTTGGAACAGGATGGAAGAACTACAAAACAAAAACAAAAACAGCAAAGAAAAAAAACATTAGGAGCATTTTTATACAAACACCAATAACAAGACCAGTGCCCGATATACAACGTGTGTTTGATGATGTGAAGTGGAAAGAAAAGGAAAAAAAAATCACTGATTATTTCCATAATTATTTAAAAAATAATATTCTAAAAAGTGTGATGTGCATTTGCATTCCTCCCCCATAACCTGACACCCATAAATACATTCCAGAGCAACTGATGGCTTTTAGGAACTCCACAAATATAACCTATATGGAGGAGAAAAAGGACAGAGAGTCGTAGCATGTCCTGTTTGAGATTTGTCACAACCCATTAGAGGACACATCAATAATGCTGAGGTACTTTGGTTAGATGAGAGCTAAACTGTTAATATTTTCTATGTGGAGCAAAATTATTCTCACTCTGATTGCTCCATGCATACAACCAGGCATGGTGGTGACAGCATTATTGCCAAGGCTCCAGTCTGTGTGTTTGTTTTTGTGTTGTCTCCCTTCCACCAACAGGAAGCGCCTGGTTCTGGTCCGCCTCCTCACACACCTGCTGACGGTTACCTCGTTAACGGAGCGCTCTTAAGCTGCCGGTTGCCACTACCTCGACGCCAGAGTGTTTGCCAGTTTTTGGTACTCTAGCCAAGCTGAGTTTTCTCTGAGTAAGACTGAGTTCTTGTCTACCTGAGTTTTAACTTTGTTAATCCTGCAAACTGGACCTTTTCGGACCGTCATTCCCAGTAGGGATCAACTAAGCCTTAAACTGAGCCAAAGATTCAAACAGGAGGTTTGGATCCAGTCTCCTTGAGAGGATGTTGAAAATACTCTCTGAGCAAGGGAATCATCTTCACTACGATCCGTTCAAGTACAGCAGGAAATCTGAGTGGCAATTAGCGTCTCCGTTCACCTACACCGTCCAAGTTCTGGGTAAACCCTGTTCCGCCCTCCACCGAGTCAGACAAACTCTGGAAAACACAGAGATTGGAGTCAAGGATCCTTCACTTCTCCGGAAACGTGAGCCAACAACCAGACCCTCTTCTTCAAATCAACGAATGAAATTTCCCACTGAGCCTGAACTAATAGTCTGTCTTCCCCTCACCTTCCAGTTCCGGCTGAGCAGAGTTCAGAGCAACACTGCACCATGCTTAATCTGTTCAATAAAACCTGTTAAACTTTTCATCTTTGTCTCTCTGAATTGGTTTCACTGCATGTGGGTCCGAGCTTTAGATAAAATCATGACAATTATTCCTCTGATGAGTTACTTTTTTTTTCTTTCAGCAGTGAAAATGATAGGAAAAAACAGTTGGAGGTTTACCTTCCATCAGATCTAACAGCTACAGTCTGAGCAACAATAGAAGGATTCAGGTGACATTAAAGCATAATCAAATATTAAAAATTACCCAGAACTAAGCTTAAAGGAGTAATCGGGGCAAGGCTTAAATATTCCTGCCTACAGAAATATTTAAGCATTATTTTAGGCATTCTTAAGCAGAAGAATGCCTAAAATAATTTGCAGAATCCAAAGCAATTGGCGACATAACAATAAAGACCTGAGATAAAGCTGCAGTTTACGGTGGTTTGATAAAGTATAGACTCACAGGAACTAAATATGAATACATCCATCACTTTTCAGATTCTTATTTGATGAAAATCTTGAATACTGGTATTTTTTTCCTTCCACAACATTTATATGCTTCTTTGTGTTTGTCTATCACATCGAATCTTGATAAAAATAAAAAAACAATTTTCTGTTTGTTTTTTTTTTAGCCTGTCACAATGTAGAAAAATGTATAAGGGTGTGAAAACTTCTGCAAGGTGCTGTGTGAGTGCATATGTGTGCAATGTGAAGATGTGCTTACGCTGAACGGATCGTTTTTTTCCAGGAAATGTTTGTACTTGGCAGGGGGATGAGGAATCGGTGGAAAGAGGAATTTAAACAACCTGAGAGACACAGAGGGAGATTTAAGGAGATGATTTGGATCCAAATTACTTACTTTGTCATAGAACAAATGGAAAAAAAAAAGTGCTTTCTTATCTCACCCTTGCATTCATAAGGTTTGACTTCCTTCCTCTAATTGGCTATTTCAGATCTCATTAAGGGTACGCTTTAGAGAAAAACAGAAGTTTTGGGAGGATGCTAGCATGTGGCTTTTCACATGAAAAGAAACTACTTGTGTTTTACTTCTGCTTTCTACACTTGTTTCTTTAGAAAAAAGCCTCACAGTTCTGGATAAATAAAGGTCACATTTGTCCTCTTTTTTCCTTCTCATGCATTTTCTGTTTTTACTAGACCTCACAGACTTGATGTCTCAACTCAGAAGTGGCTCAGCAAAGAACAAATGAAAGGTCATCAGCTAAGGCTTCAATTCAATTCATTTTATACAGAAGTAAACAGTTTTTCCTGATTATGACTCCTGTAGGCATGTAAAGCACCCTTTTCCTCTCCAGTTATTGCTTTGAAGTGCGCAGCTCTGCATCAAACTAGTGAATCAGCTTTTTACTCTTAAAGTTTTTCTTTTTCAAAAGGGCTATAGTACGTCTCTAAGGCAGTACGTACGCAGGGAATTAATAACCAAATGAACAAAATCATTGAATTGTGAATGGAAATTAATTAAATGTTTGCCCTCTGCAGTAATGTTAAGTGATGCAGAGGAGAAAAAATGCATTATCTGATAATGATTTGCTAAAGTGAAACCTTGTTTGGAGGGAGAAGAACTATGTTAAAGTAATTTAGAAGGTGGTCAGAGAGGACAGGGTTGTAAGGAAATACTATTATTTCTTCACATTTAATGCTATATATATATATATATATATATATATATATATATATATATGTCAGCATAAGATCCAAAGTATGAAGATGAGAAGGTGTTGGACTACTCACATTTTGAACAAAGCCAATTGCATCTAATGCAGCATTAAATGCTGAATTTAACTAATGACATCCAACATCAACCGGATTTCAAAAATCCTCCACCATGATGACCTTGTCAGTTTTTAGCACTAAATCAGATAGTAATTCTGAAAACTAATCTAAAAATTCAGATTAAGGAACTGGTGGACCATGGAAAGTTACAAAAATCAGAGGTTTTGTTGCTTTGCAATCTGGATAAGTGAAACTAAGAGGTAAATGTTTAAAAGAGTTGTAACTATGGAATAATCAGTCAGACTGAAAAATTGTTGCTACTTCTCCTCTTCGCCCAGAATTTCTGGTTGGTGACAATTTCCATAACTAGAGGGAGTTGCCTCATTTATGCTCATAAACCTCTTGCTGCAGCCAAGTTTCTGTAAGCCAACATCAATCAATGTGATTATAACAAATCAAGTCATTAACAGACTTTTTGAAGAAAGTGATCATATGTTAAATGAACCACATTTGATAGTTTTTAACTTTTTACCAAATTTGAGTTTTTATTTTGATTAGATTATCATGATTTACTCCATTGGGATTCTTTTGTCATTTATTTGATTTTGGTTGTGGGCAAGACATGGTCTGGATGGAGTAATGACTGGGTAACGGTAGAGAAGCTGCTGAAAGTTGTGGCAAAAATTATTCTGCTTCCTGATCTGCACCCTGGGCTGATTCTTAGAAAGAAGAACTGCAGCATCCAAAGTGGGAAGGATGCCGTCTCTCCGAATCAGACCAGGTTTTCCCAGAGATATTGCCAATTATTAATGTAGGCCACATTCCTTTCAGGACACCAACTAGACAATCAGCGGTTGAATGACAACATGAGGCTAAACATGTCATCACACGTCAGATCAGGAGGGGACCAGAGAAAATTACGTGATTCGGCATTGTCTTAGTCATGTCAAGCAAAACCATGCTACCTCTGATGGCGCAGCGACAGCAACACAGCCAGGAGGATCATGGGTATTCCAAGCGAAATCCCTGTGATTATCAGAGGATCGATGCTGTATGATGGCTGCTCCACCTCTACATACACAAACATGCACATGGAGAGGGGTTGTTGAACTGAACAACAGCTTTAATGTACAAAATTATATCAGTAAAAAACAAGAACAAGTTACTGATCAAATCTTTGAGCCTAAGCAAACCAAAGTCCACTCACCGACTGTGGGGCTCCACTCGCTCCACTGATTGCATCCAAAGCAGTTGGGTGACACCCTTGTCCTCATCCTCACCCTGTATGTTTTGCCCAGAACAATAGTTGGCTCTGTGTGCTGCAGCGTTTTTGAGATGTTCCTTGGTTGTTTCTGTATTAAAGATTTTTTCCTCTTTCTTTTACTGGGCTAATTTAAGGCAAAAAGAAAATACAACAAGTGGAGGGGCAGACATACCTGATCACCTAAGTCTATTTGGTAGTCAAAACAATCTTCTGAAATCATGGTTCCCGGCACATCCCAGGTAATATTAAGGATGCCATGCTGAATCGATGCTGTGACGTTTGCTGGAGGTGGCATGATCTCTGTGGTAAAAGCCAGAAAACCATTAGATAAAGTTAAAGTCACAGATATTCAAAGAAGATTGTTGTTTCTAAGAAAATTATGTAACAGTCAAATAAATAAAATCTAAAAAAAACTATTCATCTGCTTGTGTCCAGTTACTTAAAAAAATGGTGAACAGTAATCTGAATCCTCTGTAATTTCAGGGAAGCAAATTATTTACTTTATTTATTTTTCGCTGATTAGATGGTTTAATGCTTTCTGGTATTCTAATATATTTATACGAAATCTGTATTAAAGCATTGAACATTTTCCAAATTTATGCCCCTTTTCCAGAGGCTCCACTTGGCTGGATGGCATTCTCAGGGTTAGGTATGATCAGAGATGAGAGGGACTGAAAAAGGCAATAATGGAAACAATACAGGGGGATTAGAGCCAAGCCAAATGGAGCCGGTGGAAAAGCAGCTTTAGTTTATTTCAACCTTATTCCAAGTGGTATTCAAGTAATCTTTTCCTCCAAAATATCCAGTTATTGTCTCATGAAAAAAAAAGCTTTTTGCATATTTATAGCAAACAGAAAAGTATGAAATCACATTTAGGTAAGTATTCACAGCCTTTGTATTTTATACCACCTTTGGCAGTGATTCCTATAGCACGCCTTTCTTTAGATATTTGACCCATTATGCTTTACACTACATCTGAAGCTCCATCAGGTTGGATGGGATACATCTATGCAGCCAGTCTCAGATCTCTCTGGTGATGTTCAAGGTTATAAAAGTCTGCACTCTGGCTTGGTTCTGATCCCCTCCTTAAAAAGCTTTGGGTCATTGCTCACGTTTAAGATCAAAAGGTCAAAGACATAAGCAAGAGCGACTCCCCCCGAACGTCCTCTCCCTGCGACAGAGAGAACTAAAGCCAGGCATACACTGTGCAATATTTTCAATTGTTGAACGCAGCTACAGCTAAAACTGTATGTTGGAACCGCAGGATTTAAGGTTTACTGGTCATGATACATGTACTCACACTGATGCGACCTTATGACGGCCGACTGAATTTCAAACATGTTTGATTTTCTCAAGACCTTACAATTCCTGATCGGGAGGTGGTTGTGAGAGGCTGATCGCCCCTCGTTACCCCCATATACTATAGGGTGCACGATCTGGCTGAAAGTGGGCAAAAAATCATACAGTGTATGCCCGGCTTTAAGCAGCCGACTCCACTTTGTCCTTGTCTGTGGCCTTTCGGGTCTGAGAGGAGATGAACACCAGTTTTTCAGCTCAAACCATGTTATGTTCCAACCACCCCCTTCCAGAGAGGAGTCTGCTTACTGGACGAACCAGATTATATCGTGTCTGCAATTCAGTGTTTTGTTTCCTGCTGCCCAAACAAAGTTAGATGTAGTGTTTTTTGAATCCGGATGAGGGTACTACCCAGTTCACCTGGTTGATCAATGTTTGCTGCCCATGGAACAGCCCAGGCCCAATTGCTGCTCATCGAGGTGCCGCAACAGTGCTACAAACATGCCAAAACCAAAATGCAATTCAGCATTTATTTCAAATGCAAAGATAATCCTCTTTGGATGAAACCATTTCGTATTTAAGGACCTGAGTATACCATTAATTTAGCGTGTAGCATATGATGGTATATCACAGCATATCACAGCTGATATCCTGTGTGACCAGAGCTGCAGACAGTGGTGCATATCTAATGCATGATCTCTGAGTAACTAATAAACAGGAACAGTGCGTGTCTTTGAGAATTACTCAATGAATCCTCTTCAAACGATGCGATGCAGCATATCGAGGATCCGTTCCGGGTCAAGTTTAATTGAACCTCAACATCCAAACCTTCGCCTTCATGGATCATCCAAGATATGGATCCCACTCTCTTAGCAGAGTCTTGGTCTCTAGAATCAACCAATTCTTCATTTTTCAACACCCTGCGAGGAACAAAAATAAATACTCTTCAGAAGGCCATTTTTTGTTTACATATTTATACAGCTCTTTAGAGCATGAAAGTTACATTCCTAAATCAAAGAGGAAATAAAAGAGATGACCTGACTGAAACGGAGAGCTCAGCATCCGTCCTCAGAGTGGGGAGCGCCCAGGAACAGTTGAGAATATTGGTTGGGTACAGCACACAGATGACTGCTTCTGAGTTCTCTGGTAGTACTCCACATTCATCCTGCTCATACTGCAGGTAGATGAAAGAAGAGGAGAATTAGAAGAAAAAACATATTAAGCTGAACTAAATTGGTTATAACAGCATCAAGGTGATTTTGAATATTAACTGAATATTTTCATGCTCACGTCAAAATCAGCAATCATACAGATGTCTAAATCGCTGCCGTCTGGTTTAAGAAAACACAAACCCAGAATTAGAACAAATGAGAACATCTTATTAGAGATCCTTCATGTAACAATGCTTAGCAATATAGTGCACGTTGAATTAACAAATAGAGGGAAAGAAACCCCCCACCCTTATAAACAGAGAGCTGTTTATTTTTAGCAGTGCGCTAGAGCAGAAAATAATGTTGAGACACCCACCACCCTGTGAGATCCACAGCAGCAGGAAGCCGAACCAGAGGGCAGGGAGGGGAGGAGGGAGCTTCATAATTCGTCTAAAATCCACATGCAGACACAGACGTCAGATTCAAAACATGAGATTTAACATATCTGTACCTCACTGGCTCTAGATACTCTCATCTGACTCTAAAGAGAGTAAAAGTTTACTTACTTTCACAAAGACATGACTTTCAGCCTCAGTTTTGGAGACTGACCCGTTGTCGGATCACATGCAGGCTATTGTATAAGTTTGAAGTGGGTGATTTCCAGACATTCTAGACTTCCCCTTTTGCTTCTTTCTCATACAGGCTGACTTCTTGTAAGTCACCTCGGAGGAGGCATAAACTGATTTAAAGAAACTACTCGGCTGGTTTCTGTTCTGATCCAACATGAGAACTTTAAAGTTTCAGAAACACGGTTTTCAGCCACATTGACAGACAGAAAGATTCACCTTTCCTCCGTTTTGTTTACACACACATACATTTACCACTCTGATAAATTGACACAGCTATGACTTCCGATAGTATCTATCAGATCGTATCTTACAGTAGGAGTGAAATCTCAAACACAGCACCCTGCCTTATACGCTATGATAAAACCATGATAAGAGAGAAGAGATGAGAAGTTTACCTCCCGCTACTTCTCCACGCCGCCGCCGTCTGTGGTTCTCTCTCTGCCAAGAGGCACTGTGAGACGATTTTGGGGAAATATGAGCAGGGACGTCACCTACTGTACAGAGCTTCAGGAAGCCAAAGATCAGCCTTTTTTTCTGCTGGTGTGTGCACACCACTCACATCTAAGTAACCTGCATTGAATTTTACTGATTGAATCTTAATAATTTTTATGAAAAATGCTCCTAAGTGAAAAAAATATATTTTTTATCTTATTGAATTGGAATATTTCTGATAAAAGTTAATGTATGTAATTTCACTTTAAAAGTCATACTGATATTGTACAGGGTTTTAATTACAAAGGGTGAAAGATTATGAAACCAATGGCCCTGTTTCTTCAGAAAAAATATTTCTTATATAGCATCAGAGTAAACTTAAAATCAAATACATACTTTTAAAGTTGAAATGTATCTTTTAGTTAAAAATACCCCAAAATGCTGTGTCATCAGCCTGTGGCTCAGCTGGGTTCTTCAGAAAGACTTTTTTTTACTCTGTCCAGCATAATATGCTAGCTCTAGTCTTCCTCTTAACACTTTCCAGGAATAGGAGAAAGTCAGGTCAGGTTCCTGGATAGTCGACCACAATGTGTGTTTGGAGGTTGCTGGGTCTTACTGAAAAATAATATCAGCATCTCCTCAAAGTCCGTCACCACAGGAAGAGTGAGTTTTCTATATTGGTGAATCCAAAATACCATGATTGTTGATAAATGTATGCAACAACCTGCATACACTTAGCAGTCACCCCTCTCTGTACTCAAGTAGATTATAGGGTAAAAATTTGTTTAGCACAGAGGTAAAATGTGCTCAGTAGTAGAGTCTCAATGATTTATGAATACCAAGAAAACCTTCTACCAAAGGGCAGATATGACAAAAATTTAAATATTACCGGTATATCTGTTTTGCTTATTTGGAAAACTGATGGACTTGTCTCCAAAACTTGATGGTTTCTACGTTTTGTTGTAAACAATCTATTTCCTTTTCTCTAATTATGTGACCTCGGTTGCTTTAATGGGATCGACCAAACCTCTGGGACCAAAACGATCAAGTTGATTGATTTAAGAAGCAGGAAGGCAAACGACAAGAGGAACAGCGGGGCCCAGCCTTCATGTTTCTGCACTTCTCTGAAGATTAATGGACGTTAAATGGCTTTGAGCCTGTCGCAAAAGAAAGGGTAATGGGACCAAAGGTAGTTCAAAAATCTGGTACATTTTTACATGATACTAATATTTGACTGTGTTACTACATATTAAGTGTAGAAGCAGTTTTATTTTCTTATATATCCTTACACGTGGCCCTATACTTACTTAGCAACAAAACAGTAAATGCTAAAGGACAAGTATGAGTCTTAGCAATAATAAAGTCCCTAATGCCTTATTCGTACGCAATTAGATGATGTATAAGGAGGTTTGGCATAAACAGAGAACAACTGTATAAACATTTCCTCCGAGTGTCAAATCAGCCGCTGGCGTCGACCAGCACACGTGAATTCCAGTAAGCTTTCGACATTTTATTCCTGTGCATGTGCAGTTACATAATGCGATGTGGAAACTATAAATGCCGCATAGAATGGACTGAAGGTTGGGGGATAACTAAATTGTGGCGATGCAGTGCTGGATGTATGAAGTGTTTAAGACAGCTGTATGAATTCAGTTTTGTAATTAAATGTGTTCCCCCTCCGGATGATAAAATGGTGTGAATCGTGGCCTTCTTTCTGTCATAAGGGAATTCTACCAATGAGCTTCCATATAAGTAGTATAAATCACTGTCCTGGCTGCAATAGTTTTATGCAGTCTGTCTCATCTCTGCCTTCTGTCTGTTTGAGGTTGTTTAAAATATGCAGTATTTATCATTCTATAAGTCACACTTGTTCCATGTTTTGGCCATTGGTGCAACCTATACTCCAGAGCGACCAGAAAAATATACTGGTAGATGCTCAATGAGTCTAGTTGTGCATGTGTTTGTTTTTTTATTTTAAATATTCTTTCAGATTAAACTGCTGTTGGTTTTCAGGATTTTTAACTGGATATCAATGCTCACTGAAATGACAGAAAAGCGTGAGCCTGAAGAGCCTGCTAAAGTAGACTGGCTAGCATTGTCAGCTCCCAGCTTGCTCATGCCCGGCCACATTGTAGAGGCCACGTTGTGAGCTCTAACCTTTCCTTTGTTTCATCTGGACCCGCCTGGACCAGACCCCCTGGGACCAGTGAAGCTGTTTCAGCTTCATCACAGTTTAATGCATTCCTGAGTCATTGACTAAGACCCCTGGTGAGTAGGCAAATTACAGTTAATGAACATTAATGGGTTTTAACCTCAATTTTGAATGACCTACTAATTAACTATAACTTCTAGTTCTAGTAATTTAATATTCAGAATCTTCTGGTAAACCTATGCAACACCTCCATGGGATAAGAACTTTGATTAATTTTGATCATTTTAGTGTTATTTTGTTCCTTACTTATTCTGCTACGTAATAAACATTTTAACAGCAATAGTTCATTCATTGTGATCTAGGATATGTTATTTTAGAGTTAATTTCTGGGCAGATTATATCACTTATATATATTTATAAATTTTTATGGTGATCTTCGCCCATTTTTTTCTCCACCTATTTTCCCCAGACTTACAGAAAGCCCGTTATCCTAACTCTCTTCTTCTACAGCATGGAGAAGGTACCTCTTAACTCTTTTAAACTTTAAGACCTTAATTTCCAGAATAAATTAACTCACTTTTATTTAAAAAAACACAAAGATGAACCAGTGAGCAACACTGGCTCTGTCCTAAAAGATTAGACACTTCTGACAAAGACAACAGTTGTAACTCATTTTCTGAATAACTGTGAGTCATGAGGCTCTGACTCCACACAGAGTCCACATCAGATTCTTCAATCAGCTTTGTTGAACAATCCTCTCTTGCTGCAGTTATCCTATTACACGTCTTTAGGTCAGATTGTTGTGACTTTTCTTCTAATGGAGGAAATCAGTGATAATGAAAAACTTCCCATTCAGAAGTTTTCCACCATAATAACGGCATGTGACCAAAACACATTTTAATTGTGTAACGCCTTCATTTTTAGGGAGGAAAACTTGATTGTGAGTGGGGAAAAGCCAAATATTACCTTTATTTGCAAAAATGATTGCTGTAAAAAATTGTGTTTAAAATTTTAAGTTAATCCGCTTATTGGAAATATTTCAGCGTAATGAGATGCACCTTTATGTCTGGGTTCCAAGTTGATTATGTAAATTTTGGATCATTAGAGTTAGCAACAGGGGAGCATTTAAGGCCAAGTATTTTTATTTATTTACACCACACATTTCACTTCAGAGACCACAGGTGTCCATATTCTGTCTGTTGGGAGATTAAGGTTTAAAAGACAAAGTAAAAAAAAAGGATAATTTGAGGAAATGCATAGAGTGTGGCTTGCTGTTGCTCCCATTCTCAGAACCTCAGATGGTTTTCAGTGAAGAGGTCATCAAACTTTACAAAGATCTGAGAAGGTCATTGTAATGCCACAGAGCCGCGAAATGTGCTGACAGCTTCTTACACATATTCATCAGTTCTCTCCTAAAAGAGGGAAGTTAAAACAGATGGAAAGAAAAGAAGGTTGAGAACAGAAGGCTGGTATCTACATTTAGACAATCAGTACAGAAAAAAACAGAAAAAGTAGTCATAGTAAATTAAAAATATTGATTAATTTAAGGCACTGATGTGTATTTAATAGCTTTATTGTTTGTACTTTTGGAAATACTGAATGGATTTAATTCCATTTCTTCAACCCATATTGAAAAAAGGGTAAGGACGATGAGAACTTAGATTATTGAATAAGAACTTTGCCAAATATTATGATTAGATCAATTGCCACTCTCCTATTTTTACTAGGTTTTTCCCTATGAAAATTTGCATCAATATTAAAAATTCAATTCAGTTTATTTATACACTGTAGCGATAATTCACAACACATCATTTCAAGGCACTTTTCAATCGATTCAAAAAACAACGTATGAATCCTGTTGGGCAGAAATTTAATTACACACACATTTGTTACTTAAGTAGAAGTATACATACTACAGTTTAAAAACACTCAAGTATCAACTTGACCTCTTTACTCAAGTAAAAATGAAAAAGTATGTGCTCCAAAAACTACTTAAAGTATAAAGTAACCTTTAAAAAAAAACAGCCAGATGCCACTATATGAATTGAAAGCTCATTTTTTCGACTATTTCGAGAAATTCTTTCAAATAGGGCCAAGGATGAGGGAGGTCTTGTTGGTCTCCGTCTCCATCTCCTGATACGCTCTCGTCTGTGTCTGACCTTTAAGACATTTCGACATCTTTTTCTCAATCTAACATAGTAGCATGACATAGACAATTCACGTTTGCAGTTTGAAGAACACCAATGAGTGTTTGCGTTATATAACTCATCCAATTACTCTAGTTTTTCACTAGATGTGGATGGATCCAATGATCTGCATTGGATCTCGCACATGATGTAAAATAAATATTTATAAACATTAAACCGCAGCCAAGAGTAACGTGTAACATTTGTTTTTCAAATGTAAGGAATAGAAAGTACAGATACTTGTGAAAAAATGAGTAGAAGTCAGAAGTAGGAAGAAAAATAAGTAATGGAGTAAAGTATAGATACCTAAAAAGTGTACTTAAGTACAGTAACAAAGCATTTGTACTTCACTACTTGACACATAAAAGTTTCTGATGAAATATCCATATTGCTTCTGCTCCCAATAAAAAAAACAACTGAACAACCTATTTTCATCTTGCTGAAAAAGTGCTATAATTATTATTTAACAGGGTGAGGAAAAACAAGCTCTATCAACGATGGTATCAGCTACATTTAACTAAGATTTACTTTCAATTTTTTATAGCTTCAAATTCCTGCTAAAAATCAGACAACATAGTTTTTGTTACAAACAACAACAAAGCAACATCGCTGCTATGATTGCGTCGTTTTTTTACCACTAGGGGGCAGCAAATACCACACTTTATTTTGAGAATCCCTTGAGAGTTCCCTGCTCCTGGCGGGAGTTTGTCAGCTCCTTTGTCCGCTATTTTACAACTTCCTGCTTTTATTGTGTGTGCACGGTGTTTAAGAAGGAAACACGAGAGAAAAGGAGCATTGAAATCAGCTACTCGACGTTTTTTTTACCTGAGTAATAGAGATCTATCCCAGCATGACTTCAAAAGAGATCATTAGGAAAAATAAAACCAAACTTCAGGATATTTTTTGTGGAGACTACAACCTTATCCTCAACAAGGTTCATGAACAGAAACTGATAACTCAGAGGGATTACAACAACCTGAAGAGCATCAATAAGGAAAATGTGAGCGGCCACGTTACAGAGCTGGTTGATAAAATCATGAATAGATCAGAGAAAACCTGCAAGGACTTCCTGGACATCCTGCAAACTGATGACGCTGTTAGAGAAACGTTTCCTGACCTGCAGAACCTCCAGCTTAGTGGCACCAGGGTTTTACCAGCCCCAGTCCAAACCACCTCACCTGATGAAGGTAAATCAAGTACGGAAGAGGATTAGGGCCACTAAAAAAAAAGAAAGTTAACTGATTTTTTTTATTTCAGTTGTTCAGAATTCTGACTTTAATCTCAGACTTTTGGATCTTAATGTAGATGGGCACCATGAAGGAAGAGATGTGGGAGCAAGCAGCTTCACTCACAAAGATGTGAGTTGTTTGGGACGGCCAGTGACACACAGGAGGAAAATGACGGACTTACGCAACTTTTTACGTGCCCGAGGAGTCCCCAAAGATTCTATTTCATTAATGGAAAAGCAGAAGGTGAGTAAAACAAGAGAGCTAGCTTAGTCTCTGAAGTCGGGAGTACAATGTGCGATTTTCCAGTCATGAGAGAATTTTTTGATCGGGCCGACTTTCAGCCTGATCGTGTAGTGTACAGGGGGTAACGAGGGGCCATCAGCCTCTCACGACCACCTCCCGATTAGGAATCGTAAGGTCGGAAGAAAATCAAACATATTTGACTTACTCCTGACCGTCGTGGGCAAATCGCTCAGTAAGCATCTGTCTTTTTCTTCTTCCTCTCAGATGTAAACACAGAAGCTTCGTAAAAGTTTAAAAACAATCCACTGGACTTGGTTTCCAAGGTTTGAAGACGTTTATCCAGGAAGCTTTCTCAATTCAAACAGACATTTGAATTGATAAAGCTTCCTGGAGTAGAAGCGAACTGTCTTCAAATCTTGGAAACCAAGTCCAGGGGATTGTTTTTAAAATTTTACGGAATGACTATGACCTGTATGTCTGAGAATCTTCATCAGCATTTAAACACAGAAGCAGGGTGCGAGTGGCATGGAGTTCTTTCTGTAAAATTGACAGACCATAGTAGCCACGTTTGCACAGCCATGTCTTTGTCTGAATACATAGTCGCCTTTTCTTTTTAGGGCTTTCAGTACAAAATTGCTCAAATAGCCAAGGCAGCGCAGTTCATTGTGGTGAGCTTCATATTCCTCGTTTGGCTTCCGGACAGGTGGGTCTGAGTAGCTTCATATCACTGCGGAGCTAAGTCCAACGTGGTTTTTACACGTACAGTGTGAGCAGGCAGATCGCATAACAGCGTCGGGCTGAACATGAATCGTAAGCTGTGAACTCACTGTACGACAAAACCCTGCAGTTTCGTCGTACAGTGTGAGCTGTAGCTGGGTGCAACAATTGAAAAAAAACGTAGACATGGCTACGGCTAGATGCTAACATGTTTGTTAGCTTACGTCGATGGAGATTGTCAACATAATAGAAAGCAGATGCAGTGGTTTATCAGAGAAAGCTTAGATTAGATTTATCATTTAAATTAGTTGACTTTCACCGTGTTTTTTAAATTTGACTGATATTAAGACCTGAAGCTAAGATGGATAGCCGGCTAGAGTCCTTATAACAGCTGCTTGGGTTGATATTCACCGGAGAATACCTAGCAGGCCGAGAATTATTTAATAAATATTACATAAATGTGGAGATGGTAGGCTACAGTCACATCTCACTACATCAAACAATGTGGTGCTTAAAGTTTTTATAAATTTTTTTTAATAAAACATGATCATCGGAACCCAATGTAGCCTTGAACTGTGACCACAGGGTGACGTGATGACGTTGGCGAGTGGGAACGCAGAATGATGTGATGAATGGGTGGATAAATAGACGGAAAGAAAAAGGCTATTAACAAATGTATAGATTAAAATAAAGATCCCTTTGGGATGATTTACAATGTTGATGTTTGTGTGTACCCATAATACTTTTTGCCTTTAATGGACTATTTGTCGTAATATCTTTCTACATCACAATTGATAAAGTACTCTCTTTTGTTTGTTTTTGTTTTTTTATAATGGGTGATCCATTTCCTAAAAGGATACGCTAAAGCTCCCTTCTTCCTTTTTTGTATTCCTCCCCAAAACAGTAGATATCCAATGTGCAATGTTAATAGTGGTCTTATTGATTGATAGAGAAAATATTGGCAAAAAGTAATTATTTTCTTGTTCTTTGTGCTTAGATTGACTGTGATGTCATAGCGCTGATGGATCATTCAACTCTGGCAAACTTCATCCCCTCCTATGGAGACCGAATTGCCCTCTTCCATTTCTGCAGCAGCAAAAGATCATCCTCGAAAAGAAAACGAGGAGTTCTGCAGAGGTTAAGTGAGGAAATGAAAAACAAAGGGGAAATTTCAACCGAGAACACTTCACCTGAACGAACAAGGCAGCGAAAGAAGCAAAAAGCATCACGAAATGTGGAGATTGGATGGATCCATAGTGATGGGGAAGTACCCAAAGAGGTGAGAGCGAAGCAGGGAGGTGGCACTAGAAAAATTCAGATGGCCACTGATGCCGGATTAAAAGATATTCTTCAGGAAGGAAAGAAACTATTTTTCCCTGATGGCATATCACCTAAGGGACCTGAAACAGATTTTGAATTTGAGGTTTGGGACTTTAAACTGAACCACCTTACTGAAGACACCTGCCAGAGTATTGGCACTATGTATGAAGCAGCGAGGCTGACAACTCTGCGCTTCTACATTTCAACAAAGCTGAGAGATCCCGAAGAAGATGAAAGTCAGAAATCTGATGTCATATTTGTCTTGGAAAGCAATAGCAGTGAAATTAATCCTTTGCAAGGGGTGGAACTCAGGAAGAGTTATGTTGAAGTCCAACCTGATTCAGACCTTTCAGATGATTCAGAAATAACTTTCGGCCCCAAATCTGATGATGAAGAAGATTCAGCAGACACAATAATCTATGAGGGTTCTCCTGCACCGCTCAATCCAGCTAATCCAGAGGATGAAACAACAATCACTGTACGTCACACTAACACTTTAAATGACATTATTAGTGCTTTCTCTGATGCTGAAATTATGAGAAAGACACTGAAAGTGAAGCGCATACTTCCAGACAACAAAGAGGAAGCTGGTAGTGGATCGGAAATACTGAGAAATGTACTCTCCTGCTTCTGGAATGAATTCTATAAGCGATGCACTCTTGGTACAACAGTCAAAGTGCCATTCATTCGCCATGATTTTACCGCTGAGAAATGGAAGGCAGTTGGGCGAATACTTTTGAAAGGATACCACGACTGTCAATATTTTCCAAATAAACTTGCAATCCCCTTTCTTGAACAAGTGCTTTTCGGTGCTGTTAAAAGTGATCTTCAAGGACACTTTCTGCAGTTTGTCAGCAGCCAAGAATGTGAGGTTTTAAGAGAAGCAGTCAAGAACTTTTCTGCTGTTGACTTAGATGATCTTTTGGAAGTTCTTGATAGTTATAGCTGTAAAAAACAAATAACTGCTGAGAATCTTTACACCATCATAGATGAAATAGCACATAAAGAGCTTGTCCAAAAACCAATGTTCGTTATTTGCTGCTGGCAGGAGGTCATCAATCCACATCTTTCTATTACTCCAGAGGCACTAATTAAGTTGTTCTCTGACCTGCAACCAACACCAAGAAAAGTCTGCCAACTGCTGAAATTTGCAGAGGATTTGTCTCCCATGCAAAAAAAAGTGGGGAACTATCTCAAAAGATTCATCAAAGAGCTGGATGACATTAAAATTCATAAGTTTATGCAATACTGCACCGGATCTGATCTTATAGTAATAGATAGTATTTATGTGGAATTTCAAGATATGACAGATTTCACAAGGCGACCAGTGGGACACACATGTGGGAGCATTCTACAAATAGCTAACAGCTACGAAAACTTCCCTGACTTCCGTTCTGAATTTAATGCAGTTCTTGAAAGCAATGTATGGGTAATGGAAATTGTCTAGACTCACAATGTAAACCACTACATTTGAACTACTTATGCAGACTACTGCAGGGCAGCAAAAAGACAAAGATTATACCTTTGAACTCATAAAAATGTCTCCTGTTCTAACAAAAAGGATCATTTACCCATTTGTACCTGAAAACCAGTTTAGGCTCAAATATTCCAGTTTCTTTCATTATGCTTATTTTCAGATCCTAGAGTTGAAATTGTCAAGAATGAATTAGTACACCGTTTATTACTATAACCAGAGCTGTCTTCACCAGATCCAGGTTCTCCGGCTGCACGATAGAAACCCTAAGCAGCAAAAAGAAAAGTAATTACTAGAGCTCTATAAATTTTTATGAAAATTTTACTTTGTTTTCTTGACTATACCAGATTTTTTGTGACAGTTTGACACAATCAGACTCTTTTAAGTAAGGAGTAATAATAAATAATCCAGGTTTAGTTTTCTTTACATCTTATCAAATTGTTAGTTAAGGTAAGATGATGTATCACATTTCTTTTTTTTTTTTTTTTTGCATTTGAACATAAAAGTACAATTGATTATGACAAAAAAATGTTAATGGCTTTTCCAGTATTGTCTAAATGTCTGATTGATTCTAAGCATATACAATGAGGAAAATAAGTATTTGAATACCCTGCTTTTTTTGCAAGTTCTCCTACTTAGAAATCATGGAAGGGTCATGTCCACAGTGAGAGACAAAATCTAAAAAAAAATCCAGAAATCACAATGTATGATTTTTTTTTTAACTATTGATTCAGCTGCAATGTTAATATTCCCAGAATATTAAAATATAATACTGCCAGAGTGGGTTTTTGAACTCGCAACATCAGGATTCCAAGCCCTATGTCCTAACCACTACAGAAGAACACCCCTAAAGCATGATGCTACCACCCCCATACTTCATAGTAGGGATGATGTTCTTGGGATATTTCTTCTTGCTCCAAACACAGTTAGTGGAATTATGACCAAAAAGTTCTTCATTTGGTCTCATCTGACCGCATGACTTTCACTTTCACATGACTGTATTACAAAAGACTGTTTAAGTGTTTCTAAATGTTGGCTCATTTTAACCACCACATTATTAGGATTGGCAAATGTTTTTTTCTAAAGTGTCCCTAATAAAATGTTGTTTTACTAAAATTCTGTCATTTTTAAGAATTTTTTTTATTAGCTCATTTATTTGAACATGCCTTAACTGAAACTCAAACTACCCTATCCATAGCCTTAACCATAGCCTTAAATATTTAATTTGCTGCTAAAGAAATATTTACAAATTCCTTGGCAAACATTAACCCAGATAAAAAGTGTGATCTGCTAACGTGAGATCCTGGACGCAAAAACATCACCATCCCATATGTTGCTGGAGTTTCGGAAAAACTCAAAAGAGGATTTTCTCCAAACACAAAATCGCAGTATATTCAAACCAAACAAGACCCTTAAGCCCGGCATACACTGTGCGATTTTCAGGGCGATTTTCCAGTCGTGCGAGACTTTCGACTTTCAGCCTGATCATGGGTCGTGAGTCGTGTAGTGTACAGGGGGTAACGAGGGGCGATCAGCCTCTCACGACCAGCTCCCTATCAGGAAACATGAGGTCAGGAGAAAATCAAACATATTTTTCACATGCCCAGCGTCGCGGGCAAATCACTCAGTGGGCATGTGCAAACAAGGATTCCTCTTTTTATTCTTCCTCTCAGATGTAAACACAGCAGCGTGGCAGGGATGCAATGAGTGAAATGGATTTCTGTCTGTAAAATTGACAGACCGTAGTAGCCACGTTTGCTCCATGTCTTTTTTCCAAATACGTCGTCGCCTTTTCTTTATAGGGCTTTCAGCACAAAATTGCACAAATTGCCAAGGCAGCACAGTTCACTAGAGTGAGCTTAAAGGAATAGTACACCCAAAACATGATTAGCCTTCATTTTCTACTCACCCCCATGCTGAACAACACTCTAGAGTACTTTTTTGATATCTCAAATGCATCTGGAGATCTGGGAGGCTTCTTGCTGTCAGCTGACATTCAAATAATGGAGGTCTATGGCGCCCGAGGAACAAAGGTCCATAAAAGTCCACAAAAAACATGTCAATATTCCTCCATACTGCTCGTCCAATGTATTCCAAGTGTCCTGAGTGGGTAGCGTCCATAATTTACTCAAAACAAAGTCATTTAGAATGTTTTTAGAGCATAAGAGTAGTGTATAGGGTTTGTTCAGCGTATAGTGTATAGGGTTTGTCCAGAGTGTTGTTCAGCATGGGGGTGAGTAGAAAATGAAGGCTAATCATGTTTTGGGTGTACTATTCCTTTAATACCCCTTCTATGTGTTTGGCTTCCGGATAGAGAGCTACAGAGCAGCTCCATCTCACTGCGGAGCTGAGTCCGACGTGGTTTTTAGTCGTACAGTGTGAGCAGGTAGATCGCATCAAAGTGTTGGGCGGAACATAAATCGTGAGCTCACATTGTAAGACTAAACCTTGCATTTAGTCGTACAGTGTGAGCAGCAGCTGCGTGCAACGATTGAAAAAAATCGCACAGTGTACGCCCGGATTTAAACAGACTAGTGCATTCTAGACAAATCCACAGACCAAATATGAGGGGAGTGATGTATGCAGTTCAGTGCAGTGAGGAATGCTCTGATCTTTATATTGGAGAACCCAAGCAACCTCTCCACAGACGCATCTCCAAACACAGAAGAGCTACTTCCTCCAAACAAGACTCTGCTGTCCACATACTGTAATGAAACAGAGGCTGGATTCAAATAAACCAAGACAGGTTAGTGACGTTTGATCGGTTTATTGAACAGGTTGCTCTGAGAGCGGGACTGAATCAGAGTGGAGCAAACAGGCTGCAGGCAGACAGGCGGGCAGATTGTGTGAGGTTTACCAGTTTGTGATCCAGGAGGGGAAGGCAGGCAGTTAAGCGGAGCTATTCCGAGTTTGTGATCCAGTGAGAGGGGAGCAGGCAGTCCGGTTGGAACGATTCAGAGATCCAGGGATCCAGAGGCAGAGCAGAGAGGAAATTAAGGCAGGCAGAATCAGACAGGGATCAGGCAGACTTGGTAACAGGAGACAGATCGCGTTAGAAACGGGTAGACAACAGATTACTGTTACTTGAAGAAAAGTGTTCTTATGAATTCATATGAAAATGGTGGTCTCAATTTTCCTGATTTTCATACTTTAAATAATACATTTAAAATTAATTGGCTAAAACAACTTTTTTTTTTTAAACAACTCAAGATGGAACACCACACCTCTCCACATATTGTCAAAGATTGGTGGCATTCATTTTTTTTCTAATGTGTTATTAAGATGTTTGTAAAAATCCCTCTGAAACTTTCTGCATTTTATCGCCAAGCCTTCTTATCATGATTACTCATCTATAAGCACAATTTTTCACCACACAAATATTATATCTGGAATAACAAAGATATTTTATATAAACACAAATCACTCTTTAAGGAAAACTGGTTTCAGAAAAATATCGGACTTGTAGATTGACTTTTTAATAACGAGGGCCTTCCTCTATCCTTCGATGAATTTCTGGCAAAGTATGATAATCCTGTAACACCCATGGAGTACACTAAAGTGTTTGGGGCAATTCCCTCTGGAATATGTATGCTTTGTAAACATCAACAGAGGATTGATGCTCATAACATATCTATGCTGTCTCCTATTAATACAACTGCAGAAAAAATCTGTTTATCTAGTTATTCCAGAAATGTAAGTCAATAAGAACTTTATTTCAAATGAATACAATGTCTTTGCCTCATGCTGTTTCTTATTGGAACTCATTTGTGGATGATGTGCAATGGAAAAAGGTTTGGCTGATTAATAATAAATTTCTGATAATGAATAAGATTAAAGAAATCTCCTTTAAACTGATCCATATAATTTTCTCAGCTAAAGTCTATTAACAAAATTGATTCAAAATTAACATTGATTGTTTAATTTTTCTGGCAAAAAAATATGCAGTCTTATCCAGGATAAAATTGATAATAGTTTTCTTCTGTTCTGGAGGGATGTGTTGTTTGGAATTGTAGCAAAGGATCCCCATAGTAATTCTACTGTGTAGCTAATAAATCTGCTTCTTATTATGGCCAAATTTTATGGTAAATGGCATGTACTTATATAGCGCCTTTATTCAAGCCAGGAGACTTGACCAAAGCGCTTTACACTACATTCGTTCACCCATTCACACACTGATGGTGGCAAGCTACATTGTAGCCACAGCTGCCCTGGGACTCACTGACAGAAGTGGTGCTGCCGTACACTGGTGCCACCAGGCCCTCTTACCACTATCAGTAGACAATGCAGGTGAAGTGTCTTGCCCAAGGACACAACGACACTCGGAGTCAGTGCTTGAACCGTCAACCCTTCGATTTCAGGGCAAACTCCTACATCCAACGCCACTGTCGCCCCAAATTTTATATCCATAAATGCCGATCTAGAGGTAGAACGCCCTGCTTTATTGCATTCTTTTGCAAATTCAATCAATACATCCACTCCATCCAACATTCTGAAAAGCAAAAAGCAATTAAAACATTGTCTTTGATATGTTCAACTTAGATTGCAACCCCCTAGCTTATTTGTTTTATCTGTCTTTTCTTCCTAATTGTTGCTTGTATTGTATTGCACTGTTACTCAGATCAATCCAAGTGGACTTCTCTACATATTTTACGTTGTTGGTCCCGTGTATTCAAGACGATATCTGATTGTCTGTAATCGTCTGTAAATTCACTAAGTGCAATAAATATTTCTTAAAAATAAAAAATTACTGTAATAAACTTGTTCGTTTATTCTAAAATAATGAGTTCCTTGTTAGTTTCAGCACTCCGTTTTATTTAACTTCTCTCTTAACACAGGTCCCAATAAAAACTATTCCGCTGCCATAAAACACTTCACTGTCGTAACATCCCCCATGAAGTGTCTGTCGTTAAACACATTCTCTGACATCTCCCACTTTTTTTTTTTTTTTTGAAAAAAAACAAACAATAACACTAGCGAACAGTATCAACACTAATGCATACAGTGTTGATTCTGCATAGTAACAGTAACGTCCTTATTCATTTTCAATAACCAGCCATTTAGGGCTTCATCAACAAACAGCTTTGTATTATATCAACACAATATCAGATTTCCTCTAGATCAACTTGACCATAACATCCCTTACAGATCTAGTCTGTGAACAGGTTTAACAACTCTACCAGATCTGGTTTGAGGCAGTACACTAAGGGTCTCCTTAGGGCCAGGAGAGCTACCTCCAGAGCTCGCCTGAACATCGTGTGTTAGGTTCCACAGATTGTTCAACTGAGGACCCCACCTCAGGCAGTGCTTGGAGATGATGACGATTTTGCCTGTACAGGGCTCCTTGCTCTGTAGCGATGACATATGACCTCTCCGTTGTACTCTCCCCAACCACTTCTGCAGGTGTGGACCAGGTCTTCTGATTGTCCAGCCTAGCGAGAACAGGGTTTCCCGGCTGCAGTGGTGTGAGCGGTCTCACACCATGTCGCTTATTGAAAGCTTGCTTCCTCTTCTCCACAGCGTCCTTAGCTCTGATGTGCTGTCGGTTTGGCCATTTTGGTTGCAGGACTTTATCCAGAGTAGGTAAGGTTGTTCGTATTTTCCTGCCCATTAATAGTTCTGCCGGGCTGACACCAGTGCTGCTGTACGGTGAGGATCTATAGATCATAAGAGCCAGTAGTGGATCTTTTTGTTGCAGTATTCTTTTGGCTGTCTGCACTGCACGTTCAGCATGTCCGTTGCCCTGTGGATTGTGGAGGTCACATGCTTAAAGTCTATCTCATGGGCAAAGTCTTTGAAGACTTCACTGCTGAACTGTGGCCCATTGTCACTGACAACCTCTTCTGGTATTCCATTCCGAGCAAAAGCAGCTTTCAGCTTTAGAGACACCTGAGCGCTTGTGGTGGCTGGCATGTGGAGAATCTCCAGGTATCTGGAATAATAGTCTGATATGACAAGAAAGTTCACTGTTCCATGCTCACAAAGATCTATGCCATTTTTTCTCCATGGCCTGTCTGGGAGGGGTGTTGACCGGAGAGGTTCTTTGTTTTGTGCCCTCCTGTGCTCCCGACAGTACATGCAGTTCTCCACTTTGTGTGGCATTTTTGAAGCTAAGCCAGGCCACCACACCGAAGTGTTTGCTCTCATTCTGCATTTGTTACGACCTTGACTCATTCTCTAAAAGTAAACATTGTGTGTGCACTCTACTTAAAACATTTAATCTGATTTGTATACATTTTTTTATTTCTTTGTAATAATTTGTTAGGATGATATGTTACTCAAATTATTAAGTTTTTTTAAACTCAAAAAGTATACTATGTAGTAACCAAAAAGATAATTTTATACAGCTCATAACCTAAACTACTAAACTACTTTTTTAAGTTCAGAATACTCAAACTTCTTCACTAAACAATGCAGAATAATTTAAATGTTTTTATTCAAATATATTTTCTCCAAAACTGTAAACAAACACTACACACATACACATCTGTATGGACGAAAATTCTTTGCAAATGTATTACAGAAAAAAAAAAACAAGGATCTTCGGTGGTCAAGATCAAATATTGCATCTTAAAACCATTTATCCATGGGGATCAAACTAGCAAAGGGGAACAAATGCAAAATTCGTAAATATAAACACCTGTAGGAAACCGCTCATGTCTTGAAAATCTCAAAATATACGCATCCACGCATGAATTACATAAAATAGGTTGTATGGTTATGATTAAATCACTGCAAATGTTAATTTTTTTTCAAAGTAAACACACTGGAAACTTGCACTCAGTGTAAAGGTATGGCCTTAAATAAATTAAAATAGAGAACTTACAGCTATGGGCATTCTATTCAAAAACGTAAGAAAATAAATAACTTTAAATGAATAAATAATAAATTCAATAAATAACCAAAAAATACATCTAAAGATGTAAATTTACTGCACAGAAATAAAAATAAAAAAAAGTAATAAAAATAAGTCTTATTATAGATTTAAATCTATGCTTTTTGAAAAGAGGGGCCAAAAAATATATAAATATATATAAAAAAATAAAACCTTTTTGGTCCATTGGTTTTCTCCTGCGCTCACTCTGATGTATATCCATTTTGAGTGTTACTAAGACACACACACACTTCCAGTGCTTTAAACCCATTTAGAATATCCTTATACCAGAAAATGTATCTTTTAATAACCTTCCTGTTGTCCTCCTTGATCAAAAAAAAAGATAGAGAATGGCAACAGATTGGATCATGTCAAGAACAATAACAAAAGTGGTGGGACGAAAGGAAGTAAAGAAGTATGATCAAACAGATGAGATTGGGTCCAGGATGGAAGAAGAAATTATGTAGGGAAAGGAGGGAGGAAAGATAAAAAGAAAAACAACAGAAATGGTCTAGGAAGGAAGAAGGGGAATGATGGTGGGAATATAGAAGAAAGGAAGGGATGGAGGACGATTACATATTGTCTACATTGACAGCAGGTAATTTTTCAAAGAAAGCAGAGATGGTTTCAGGGGTGCACCATCATCCAAACCCATGAGCAGCTTCTGAATGAAGGTGAAGGTGCCAACAAGGTTCTTTGGGTAGTCCAGATGCAAAGCATAAACCAGCCCAAAAAGTAGCATATATGCATCAGCAAATGTGGTAATGTCCCTCATGACAAATTCATCTTCAACCACAATGACTGTGGATACAGGACTGAAGTGAAGTAGAGATGGACTTCTTCCTCTGATCTCTGTGACAATACCAATGGTTGTGTTCCTGATGTCCGGCTCCTCTGATTCCTCACTCTGGAAAATGCAAAAGCACACTGTAACTATTTCTGAATACTAATACAGCTGCCAACTCAACAATTAAGTATACAGCAAAGTATTACACAGTAACAAGTTAACTCCCTCTACTACGCCTCTCCCCCTCCAATCATCCCGCAATCCCGATGCAAACAACACAAGTTCTGTCAGGGATAATTAGTTGGTCATTTATTAGCATGTCTCTTTAATGAACGGCACGTGTTACATGGACCGCGTGTTACGCCGAATGTGTAAAATAAGGGCGCAGACAAGCAGAAAAAACGACTTCTCTGTGGCATTTAAACAATTAAACAACATGCAGATGTGTTTGTGAAGACTTAACCATCATACTTACACGTTTTCTTGACTTCAGCAACAGCTCGCTTCGCTCGCTTCCCAACCGCCATGTTGGTTTGATTTTGCCTGGCTGGTTCCCGCCGACATTTTGGACGCACTGACGTCATTACGTTGTACGTCTCTGTGCATTCAAAGCTTTCGAGTAAGGCAATGGTGATCACTCAGAGAGTTTAAGTAGCACGAAATTATAAATGCATTCCTCGTTCGGAACACTTAGTAACTTAAAGTTGGGTTGACTTGATAGTGGATTTTGATTGTTTTCTTCACAATACTTTTTAGTCAGTAGTAATGTTCGGGTTTACAGTGTGGCTGTCCTTGTCCAGAGGGATCTGCCAAAATTCAGAAGCTGCGTCCAGAGAAGAAAAAATGGTGGACCCACCCAACTTGGCTATTATCTCTTCTGCTGTGGGCAGAATGAACCTCTCTCTTTTAACAGCTTTATTTAGTCTCTTTAGGTCGACACAGATGCGTGCCTTTCCATTCTTTTTCGGGACCGGCACCATCAGTACACACCACCCCACTGGTTCTGTTACAGCCTCGATGATGTCATTTGTCTCCATTTGGTCCAGCTCCTCCTTCACTGCTTTTAATAGGGGTATGGGGACCCGGCGTCCTGTGGCTACTGCATAGGGCTGAGCATTATCTTGCAGTGCAATTTTCACAGGCTGTGTTTTCAGTAGGCCAAACTCCTGTTCACTGGTCTGGACCTCATACACTCGCTTTATTAGTCCCATTGCTAAAGATGTTGGGCTACTGAGCAGGTTGTTCACACTCTCACCTCGAATAACATAAAGCCTGAACATGTATGTTTTGCCCTTGTATACAGTCTGTGCGGTAAACTGCCCCAAACAGTTCAAACCACCCCCGGGACCACTCAGTAGTTTCTTTGTCTTGTGTAGGACTCTCTTTGGCTCAAGTGTTTTATACACAGTCTCACTCATAACACTGCAGTCCGCTCCCAAATCAATTATAAACTTTACTGGCTTATTTTCAATATCCAGTGTTACTGTCCATTCATCATCATTTTCTGATGTACCATTACTGTAACTGAGCCCAGGTAATAATGTTTATTTTGTTCATCATCCTCTGTCACTTCACTCACCAGTCTGTTTCTGCATGCTCTTTCCCAGTGACTTTTTTCCCCACATCTGTTGCACGTGAACTGTCTTGCTGGACACTTATCATATTAGCTATGTGGTGTTTTGCCGCATCGTCCACATTTTCTGCGGTCACTGTCTTTGTATTTCTGCTTGTCCTGGCACTGTCTCCAGTCTTTAACCCGCGCGGCGCCATGTTTCTGCGCAACCTCCTGGACAGCACAGACTCGTTCTCCCTGCTTGTTAACCTGTGTTTTCACCTCCTCGGACTGCCGTACCCCCTGTGGCGTCACATCCAGAGTGAGTTTCGGGAAGAGCTGCAGCTTCTGTGACAACTCTTTGTCCGAGATGCCGACCACGATCCGGTCTCTAATGTGTTCATCTCGGTTCGCCCCAAATTCACAGTGCTTTGACAGTTCGTACAGCGCTCGGATAAATGTCTCTGCGCGTTCACCAACATGCTGCACTCTCTGGTTGAAACAAGCCTATTCGTGGATAACGTTGCGTCTCGGAATAAAGTAGGAATCAAACTTTGCCATAACTACGTCAAACTGATCTTCATTTTCACCCTCTCTGTAGGTAAAGGTGCTCAGTATGTTCTCCGCTTCCTTACCGAGTGCTTAAACCAGCGTGCTCACTTGAACTGGACCATCTTCCTTATCCAGTTTAGTTGTCGTCCTGTAACGGGAAAAACGTTTTTTCCAATCAGGCCATTCCGCCGGGTTCTCGAAACAAAAACTTTCCGGTGGTTGAAAGCTCCGCCACTTCTGACACCATGTAATAAACTTGTTCGTTTATTCTAAAATAATGAGTTCCTTGTTATTGTTTCAGCACTCCGTTTTATTTAACATGTGCTCTCTTAACACAGGTCCCAACAAAAACTATTCCCCTGCCATAAAACACTTCACTGTCGTAACATCCCCCATAAAGAGTCTGTCGTAAAACACATTCGCTAACAATTACAACTTCCTGTTTCCTACTTCCTGCAGCTTCTTCCGCTTTTTATCGTGAGCGCTTTTTATTTTTACCTGAGTAATAGAGATCTATCCCAGCATGACTTCAAACCAGATCATTAGGGAAAATAAAACCAAACTTCAGGATATTCTTTGTGGAGACTACAACCTTATCCTGGACAAGGTTTATGAGCAGAAAATGATAACTCAGAGGGATTACAACAACCTGAAGAGCATCAATAAGGAAAATGTGAGCGGCCATGTTACAGAGCTGGTGGATAAGATCCTGAATAGATCAGAGAAAACCTGCAAGGACTTCCTGGACCTCCTGCAAACTGATGAGGCTGTTAGAGACACTTTTCCTGACCTGGAGAACCTCCAACTTAGTGGCACCAGTGTTTTACCAGCGCCAGTCCAAACCACCTCACCTGATGAAGGTAAATCAACTCACTGAGGAATGGAGGCCTCATTTTACTGCCACAGTTTCATGTGTGTTTGTTTCACTTTCATTTAGGGAACATGGAGCCGGAGTGCAAAAGTCAGGAGAAGGTGAGATCTTGCTCTGGAGACAGAGATATGCTGGGTTTAAACAGCCTGAAGTAGGATAAAAAAAAAAAAAAACATAGATCTATTTATTTTTGTAACTTAACGGTTGTTTTCCTTTATTTTTCCAATTGCACTTTCTCACAATTCTGGATTTTTCATTTATTACACTGTATTACAGGACTATAAAAGTCTGGAAAATATACCTGAGTGATGAATCAAGCTCTAAAATTAACTAAAGGAGAACTTTATTTATCTCCCTTATTTAATTAATTCTCTGATTTTACATCTAGCCAGCTTGAAGTAAATAGTTTTATTAAAGTAAAGAAACTTTCAGGTAATTTAATGTAAAACATGCTGAGTTTTAGGTGATTTGTCTTCAGATTATAAACCTAATTTAACTAATAAAGTTTTTTTTCGTTAGATAATTAGTTCTTTGACTGAGTTTCTGCTGCCCCTGTCATTGTATTCAGGGATGATCTGAAGCAGTAATAACCGTCCGTAAAGGATGTTTTGCAGCTTGAGCAAACTTGAATCCTGATGTCTGTGTTGAAATAAATATTTTAAAAGACCTTAAACTGCTAGGTTGTTAGTATTGTCGGCTGAAAGGGGATGTGGCCCTAGCATGATGGTAGTGAGCAAGGGTCAGCAACTACTGTCCACCCAACCAAATAGATCTCACAGAGGCTCCAATCAATATCTAATATGGTGAGCCATCAAGACTTTATAAAGATTTTATATTCTAATGAGATGAGAGTGACTCTGGACTGCAGGACGAATGAGTCCATGGCTGGATTGGTGATGGGCACAGAGCTCCACTTCACATCAGACGTCACCAAGGTGGAGCAGCAGTACTGGCAAGGGCAGCTATTATTAGTAATTAGTATTAGGAAGCCTACTGTCACTTTTAAGAAGGAAAAAGTCCTTCAAGAAGGCCAGGATTTTTATGCAGAGCGTTCTTGATTGCCTCCTTCTGTCATGGCTCAGAATAGGGGACCCAGTGTTTAAGGTAGACAGACAGATAATTCAAAAGCGTTTATTAAATTCTGGTGGATATCTAGTAGCATCAGCTAAGGCGTATATCGCAGGAACCTCTGCAGAAAGGAAACATAGTTTAGTGACCTTGTAAATCTGGTGGAGGAAGATAATGAACGTGAATCACTAACCTGGTTTACCAGTTCAGTCCAATCTTAGAGAATAAGTTAGGATCCAGCCGGTGGGCTGCCAACAGGAAGCGGCGGGTGCCGCCCAAAATGTGTCGCAGAGGCTGCAGCCCTTAGAGGATGGAGAACAAGCAGGAGTGAAGCAGGTGAATGAAATGAGTAAACCAGCCAGTCATCAGTACCAAGATTATAACAACTTCAAAGTATTCCACTGTGTGGATCGCCTTGAAGATGAGAGAACGATGACACGACCCTCTACCTCTTCTGACCTAAACCCAACTGAGAACTTGTGGGCCCTTCTTAAATCTCAGTTTTACTTTCTTAAATATATTTAGGTTAGGGATTTACTAATATCTTGGAATGACCTAGAGAATTGTTTAAAAATATATAAATCCCCAGAACTACTACTTGCCTAATAATTTTGCACATCATGTATTTTGTGGAAGTGTTTCATAATTTCGAGTTGGGGATCTTTCTAAAGGAAAATATGTAGAGAATTGTTTCATAGAATACTTTTTTGCTGTTTTATTTAACTGTTTGTATCACATAGTTTTCATTTTTTGTAGGATTTTTATGAAATAAAAAGCCAGCCTGTTGGTTGCTGCCTGATTATAAACAACAAGGAATTCCCGAGCCTATCTGATGAGGAAGGAAAACTGAGAAGAGGAACAGACAAAGATGCTGGTGTGTTATTGTTGTTTATTCCATTTTTTTTCCTTTACTTTATTTCATTTAATGTTTGCTAAACTGTAATTTCTCTCTTAAACATAATCCTATAGAAAGCCTGGCAAAGGTGTTCAGCTGGCTGGGCTTCAGAGTGCTGATGTGTAAAGACCAAACTAGGGACCAGATGGCTCAGACACTGCAGTGCTTTGCTTCTCCTGGTGATGCCATCCAGGTGCAGGACCTGGTCATCAAAGAATGGTCTGAGAACCGCTTCACTGACCTTCAGCAGCTCCCTCATCATGGCGACGTATTTGTTTGCTGCATTCTGACCCACGGAGCTCAGGGTGTAGTTCTGGGTACAGACTTAGAGCCTCTTGCAATTAAAGAAATTAAACGTTTTTTTGGGGCCACTGATCAGTCGCCCCTCACCGGCAAACCCAAAGTGTTCCTGATCCAGGCCTGCCAGGGACCTAACATGCAGCAGAGAGTGTTGCTGAAAGATCTGGAGGAGGACAGTTCCACCTCCATCCCTGAGGCAGCAGATGTTCTGGTTGCTCTAGCAACTGTTGAAGATTATGTATCTCTTAGGGATAAAGACGAAGGAAGCTGGTTTATCCAGTCTGTGTGTGAGCAGCTGCAGGAGCAACACCCCAGGTAAATAAAATACCTCAAAACACCCAATTATATGCCTTATATCAAATATCTCCTATTTTATAATCCCAATGCATCACTTCACGCTATTGTTTGATTTTGGCTTTTTTTCTATCTCTATGCTGCTACATTGACATCTAATCTAATTTCAGGGGTGAGGACATAATCTCCATTCTCCACCGTGTAAATGACCAAGTGTGCAAGAAAGAGGGCTATATATATGATGAGGAGCATAATACACATATTCGAGCAAAACAGGCACCTGAGCTGCACTCCACTCTGAGGAAGAAGCTGGTTCTTTCGCCAAAATCCAAATAGAGAGCCACAACTTCTGCAGAAAGTTCTGGCTTTTGTTCTTTTCAACCCTTAAATTGTTTGACAGAAATATTATCCTTTCTTTTTATAAATTCTGTAATTTTCCATCTGATTTTATATTAAGTCACATTTTTTTGTTCTGAACCAAACTTGAATAAAATGCTTTAGCCAGTGCTGGTTGGTGTTGGGTTTCTTTTTCATCAGCTCCAAATATCTAACATGGATAATCTGCAGAGATACTCAACAAGTAGATGGATGATTTAAATGTGTTTAAAAATATACATCCATGTTAATTTTCTTCCTCCATGTATTTATTAAAGTTCACATATAATGAAAACCTTACCTACATGGTTATTATTTGGACATTTTGGCTCAATGAAATTAAATCTGACTGAATATTTTATTTCATATATAAATAGAGAGAGAGAGAGATTTAATTTCACTTTGGATTATCAATGTTATTTATTTTCTTTAGGTTTTCTTTTTTTAAAGAAAAAAGTCCAAGACATCTACTAAGGACCTGTTGGTACTTATTCATATGTCTGGCCAAAGTGGCAGATTTGGCCCCATGAAGTTTTGCAGGTATATTTCTATTATAAAAATATAATGTTTTTTAATCTATCTTGCCGTTGCTAAAGGTTCTGAGTTAAGATTTAGTTCTTAACGTCTTCTGCTATGTGATGAATAAAGCGTTTTAACAGAAATAGTTCATTCATGTGATCTAGGATATGTAATTTTAGTGTTAATTTCTGGGCAGATTATATCACCTTTCCCAGACTTAGCCTAACTCTCTCCCTCTACAGCATGGGGAACGTACCTCTTCACTCTTCCTTTAGACTTTAAGACCTTAATTTCCAGCATAAATGAACTCACTTTCATTTAAGAAACACAAAGATGAACCACTGAGCAACACTGGCTCTGTCCTAAAAGATTAGACACTTCTGACAAAGACAACAGTTGTAACTCATTTTCTGGATAACTGTGAGTCATGAGGCACTGACTCCACACAGAGTCCACATCAGATTCTTCAGTCAGCTTTGTTGAACAATCCTCTCTGGCTGCAGTTATCCTATTACATGTCTTTAGAACTGACTTGTTGTGACTTTCCTTCAAATGGAGGATATCAGTGATAATATAGGATAATAATATAGGCTTGTGACCAAAACACATTTTTATTGTGTAACAGCTTCATTTTTGGGGAGGAAAACGTGATTTTTTTGTGGCAAAAAGCCATTATTACCTAGATTTGAAAAAATAATTGCTGTAAATAAAGTGTTTTAATTCTGAAGTTAATCGGAAATATTTCAATGTAATGAGATGCACCTTTATGTCTGTGTTCCAAGTTGATAATGTACATTTTGGATCATTAATGTTGGCATTTTAAATAATTCACTATGAGAAGAGCCAGAGCACAGCCTGAGTCAGCAATAAAGAAGCATTTAAGGTGAATTTTTTTAATTTATTTTCTTCACACATTTCACTTCCGAGACCGCAGGTGTCCACATTCTGTCTGTGGGGAGATTAAGGTTTAAAAGATACAGTCAAAAAAGGATAATTTGAGGAAATGCATAGAGTGTGGCTTGCTGTTGCTCCCATTCTCAAAACCTCAGGTGGCTTTCAGTTCAGCTAAGAGGTCATCAAACAAAGATCTGAGAAGGTTAGCAATGCCACAGAGCCGCGAAAGGTGCTCATATGCATCAGTTCCCTCTTAAAAGAGGAAAGTTAAAACAGATGGAAAGAAAAGAAGGTTGAGAATATTGTTTTGTGAATTGTAAAATAGAGAACTAGAAACCAAATCCCTGTAGCAATGATTAAAAAACTATTTTTAAATAAACATCTTTGTTTACAAAAATAAACATAGGACAAGAAACAAACACAAAAGATGAAACAAGGAGTATCAAGGATATTGGTATCTACAGTTAGACATTCAGAACAGAGAAAAAATTGAAAACAAATTGACATGATAGTAAATTAAATATATTGATTGATTTAAGGCTCTGTTATGTATTTAATAGCTTTATTGTTTGTACTTTTGGAAATAGTGAATGGCTTTAATTCCATTTCTTTAACCCATATTGAAAAAAGGGTAAGGACTAGGAGGACTTATTATTGAATAAAAAAACTTATCTAATTAATCAAATTGTGATTTGATTATTTGCTACTCTCCCATATATATATATATTAGGTTTTTCCCAATGTAAACCACAAATAACATGTTCATAACATTGTTAAAAATTTGCATCAATATTACAAATTATAATTTTGTTACATTCCTTCCAAAATATTCTTTTTGCAATTCCAAAATAAATGACTGATTGTTTCAGGGTGCTCTGTGCAAAAATGTACATTGGGGTCAATTGTCCCAATATTATTATTATTATTTATATATATTTTTTTTATGTTTGTGTAACTTGTATTGATCTTTTTACTTATTTGTTGCACTTTAGAATATTTCTCGTACAGCACTTTGGGCAGATCTAGCTGTTTTTAAATGTGCTATAGAAATAAAGTTGACATGGTTAGCAGGATAAATCCTATGCAACAGGCAGCATAAAAGAAACATCTCTCAACTTTTTTTGAGTATAATAAAAGTTTCTGATGAAATATCCACATGGCTTCTGCTTCCAAAAAAAAAAAAAAACTGAACAACCTATTTTCATCTTGCTGAAAAAGTGCTATAATTATTATATTTAAAGGGTGAGGAAAAACAGGCTCTATCAATGATTGTATCAGCTACATTGAACAAGGATTTACTTTCAACATTTTTTTTTGCGTCAAATTCCTGCTAAAACTCAGAAAACGTTTTTTGTTTGAAACAACAAAAAACATCCCCACTTTGATTGCTTCGCTTCTCTTTTACCACTAGGGGGCAGCAAATACCAGACTTTATTTTGAGAATCCCTTCAGAGTTCCATGTTCCTGGCGGGAGATTATCAGCTCCTTTATATTTACCTAATTGTGGTTTTACGGTACACTCTAAAGCCAACACCTGGTTGGTTTTTATGTATTTTTTTGTAAGCTGGCTGGATATCCGTGTAGAAATAGAGCTTTCTGTTTAACCAGCTCTGGTTTTTCGGTCTTAACCCGCTGTTTTACACTTCCTGCTTTTATTGTGAGCGCGGTGTTTAAGAAGGAAACACGAGAGACAAGGAGGAGCATTGAAATCAGCTATTCGACTTGTTTTTACCTGAGTAATAGAGATCTATCCCAGCATGACTTCAAAAGAGATCATTAGGAAAAATAAAACCAAACTTCAGGATATTTTTTGTGGAGACTACAACTTTATCCTCAACAAGGTTCATGAACAGAAACTGATAACTCAGAGGGATTACAACAACCTGAAGAGCATCAAGAGGGAAAATGTGAGCGGCCACGTTACAGAGCTGGTGGATAAGATCATGAATAGATCAGAGAAAACCTGCAAGGACTTCCTGGACCTCCTGCAAACTGATGAGGCTGTTAGAGAAACTTTTCCTGACCTGGAGAACCTCCAACTTAGTGGCACCAGTGTTTTACCAGCGCCAGTCCAAACCACCTCACCTGATGAAGGTAAATCAACTTACTGAAGAATGGAGGCCTTATTTTCCTGCCACGGTTTCATGTGTTTTTGTTTCACTTTCATTTAGGGAACATGGAGCCAGAGTGCAAAAGGCAGAAGAAGGTCAGATCCTGTTCTGGAGACAGAGATATGCTGGGTTTAAACAGCCTTAAGTAGGATTTAAATATGATTTTATTTAAAAAACAAAAAAAAACATTGATCTATTTCCGTAAAAGTTCAAAAAATACCCACTGGACTACGTTTGCAAGATTCTTTATTTTTCCAATTTCTCACAATTCTAGAGTTATTACACTGTACTTAAGGACTCTAAAAGTCTAGGAAATATTAAATATACCTGAGTGATGAATCAAGCTTTGAGATTAAATAAAGGAGAATTTTATTTATCTCCCTTATTTAATTGATTCTCTTTGATTTTAAATATAGTCAGCTTAAAGTAAATAGTTTTATTAAAGTAAAGAAACTTCCAGGTAATTTCATGTAAAACATGCTGAGTTTTGGGTGATTTGTCTTCAGATTATAAACCTTATTCAAGAAAATTACGTTTTTTTTTTTTTTTAGATAATTAGTTCATGCATTTCATGTTTCTGCTGCCCCTGTCGTCGTATTCAGGGATGATCTGAAGCAGTAATAACCGTCCGTAAAGGATGTTTTGCAGCTTGAACAAACTGGAATCATGATGTCCGTAATTAAAGTAATATTTTTATTTATCTCAACAATTCAAATGGTGATATGTTTAGATAATATAATTATTATTCACTGCAACATAAGCTGGATTTACTAATATATAGGATATCAGAATCATCTAATTTATTATCAGATTTTTTTTTTATCAACATCCAGGTGCTTCTAAGTAAAATAGAAAGGTTTGTTTCTTATAGTAATTAAGTTTATAAAAGTGGAATTCTTTCTCTGATCCCCAACTTCAATTTAGTTGTGTAATGCTAGTTTTTAGTTTAGTGTCATTCTTCTGTCTTTTTTTTAATCACTGAACTGATATATATTTAGTTGATCAGTCTTTCCTCCTACGCCTTTTTCTTTCCCCTAATCTTCCATTAATGTAGTTGGATACAGCATCCTGTAAACAAAGCCAGCTTCTTTAACATTTACCTTTTAAAGAGAAACAGTGACCCTCTTCTGGACATTTGTGATCCCAGAACCATCAAACATTTAGTCAACAGGATTGAACAAAACATGTTGGTGAAAAAATACACAAATTAGTTGCCAAAGATTTTAGAAGAATCAAGCGTCAAGCAACCGGGAACCTTTCATCCTCCAATGTTATCATATTCCAGAACTGCAACCTACCTGGAATGCCCAGAAATACGAGGTATTCAGGTAAAGAAGGCTGGAACCAGACCATCACTGAACAAGATATGTATGGTGAACCATCAAGATTTTATAGACTGAGATAAGAGTGACTCTGGACTGCCGGATGAATGAGTCCATGGCTGGATTGGTGAAGGGCACAGAGCTCCACTTCGCATCAGACGGCACCAAGGTGGAGCAGCGGTGCTGGCATAGGCAGCTATTATTAGTTTGACCTTTTATCAGGTTGAAGATTGAGTCCAACTCAGCACCTAAGCCTATTGTCACTTTGAAGAAGGAGAAAGTCTTTCCAAAAGAACATGATTTTTATGCAGGAGGGCTCTTCATCGCCTCCATAGAAGTACTCCACTGTGTGGCTCGCCTTGAAGATGAGAGAACAATTACCCGACCCTCTACCTCATCAGACCTAAACCCTACTGAGAACTTGTGGGCCCTTCTTAAAGGAATAGTACACCCAAAACATGATTAGCCTTCATTTTCTACTCACCCCCATGCTGAACAACACTCTGGAGTACTTTTTTGATATCTCAAATGCATCTGGAGATCTGGGAGGCTTCTTGCTGTCTGCTGACATTCAAATAATGGAGGTCTATGGTGCCTGAGACAGAAAGGTCCATAAAAGTCCACAAAAAACGTGTCAATATTCCTCCATACTGCTCGTCCAATGTATTCCAAGTGTCCTGAGTGGGTAGCATCCAGAATTTACTCGAAACGAAGTCATTTAGAATGTTTTTAGAGCATAAACAGTAGTGTATAGGACTTCTTGAAAGCGCGCACATGCGCGTTCACGACGCTACGGAAGCCGGCAGACCAAACCAGCGCATTCAGCTCAGCAAAGAACTCATGCTCTTCCTCAACACTGAAGTCCTCAGACATTTTTCTTTCGTTGTTTCTTTCTTTGCACAGGTAAACAGCACATTTCTTCTTCTACGCTTGCATTATTGGCAGAGCAGACGCTGAATGCGCACTTTCAGCTGGTTTGGTCTGCCGGCTTCCGTAGCGGCGTGAACGCGCATGTGCGCGCTTTCAGGAAATCCTATACACTATTGTTTATGCTCTAAAAACATTCTAAATGACTTCGTTTCGAGTAAATTCTGGATGCTACCCACTCAGGAAACTTGGAATACATTGGACGAGCGGTATGGAGGAATATTGACACGTTTTTTGTGGACTTTTATGGACCTTTCTGCCTCGGGCACCATAGACCTCCATTATTTGAATGTCAGCAGACAGCAAGAAGCCTCCCAGATCTCCAGATGCATTTGAGATATCAAAAAAGTACTCCAGAGTGTTGTTCAGCATGGGGGTGAGTAGAAAATGAAGGCTAATCATGTTTTGGGTGTACTATTCCTTTAAACCAGAGAGGAAAACAGTCCACCTCTCTGAAAAGTGGTTCCTGCTGCACAAAATCATCGTAATCATCTTCAGATTAAGGAACTCACAGATTCTATGCTAACTGATGCTTTTAAAAAAAGGGGGTATAATAGTCGCTGATGTATTTTTCTATTTAAGTTTATTGCCACATTTTCAATAGTTAGTTTATTCTTATCGCTTTATTGGATAAAAATAATCAAGAAAGATGAGAACATTTAAAATTTTAACTTATTTGCATCATAATTCTGCATGCTAATAGTTGCCTAATAAATGTGCACACATAGATGTTTCCTTAAGAAAGCCAACATTTCTACATTACTTTCTTAATTATATTTCCGTTTAAGATTTATTAATATCTTGGAATGATCAAGAGCACTTTGGTTGTTTAAAAAATCCTCAGAACTACTACTTGCCTAATAATTGTGCACATCGTGTATTTTGTGGAAGTGTTTCATAAGTCAAATATGGTATTTGACATTTCGCGTTGAGGATCTTTCTAAAGTAAAGTGTGTAGAGAATACTTTCATAGAATACTTTCTTTGCTGTTTTATTAAACTGCTTATATAACCTAGTTTCCTATATTTTAGGATGTTTATGAAATAAACAGCCAGCCTGTTGGTTCCTGCCTGATCATAAACAACGAGAAATTCCAGAGTGCAAAACTGAGAAGAGGAACAGACAAAGATGGTGGTCTGTTGTTGTTCATTTTCTTTTTTTCTTTACTTTATCTCATTTAATGTTTGCTAAACTGTAATTTCTCTCTTAAACATAATCCTATAGAAAGCCTGGCAAAGGTGTTCAGCTGGCTGGGCTTCAGAGTGCTGATGTGTAAAGACCAAACTAGGGACCAGATGGCTCAGACACTGCAGTGCTTTGCTGCTCCTGGTGATGCTGTCCATCTGCAGGGCATCCAGGAATGGTCTGAGAACCGCTTCACTGACCTTCGGCAGCTCCCTAACCATGGCGACGTATTTGTTTGCTGCATTCTGACCCACGGAGAAGCGGGCGTAGTTCTGGGTACAGACTCAGGGCGTCTTGAGATTAAAGAAATCAAAAGGTATTTTAGGGCCACTGATCAGTCGCCCCTCACCGGCAAACCCAAAGTGTTCCTGATCCAGGCCTGCCAGGGAAATGGAAGACAGCAGAGAGTGTTGCTGAAAGATCTGGAGGAGGACAGTTCCACATCCATCCCTGCGGCAGCAGATGTTCTGGTCGCTCTATCCACTGTTGAAGATTATGTATCTTTTAGGGATCCAAATCAAGGAAGCTGGTTTATCCAGTCTGTTTGTAATCAGCTGCAGCAGCAATGCCCCAGGTGAATAAAATACCTCAAACAACTCTTTCTTACATGTCTTAAAGGTCTTAATGTCAAATAGCTCCTATTTTATAATCTCAATGCATCACTATGCGCTCTATTTTGTTTGATTTGGCTCTATGCTGCTACATTAACATCTAATCTAATTTCAGGGGTGAGGACATAGTCACCATTCTCCACCGTGTAAATGACGAAGTGTGCAAGAAAGAGGCCCCGACTTATCAAGGTCCAGCAAAACAGGCACCTGAGCTGCACTCCACTCTGAGGAAGAAGCTGGTTCTTTTGCCAAAATCCACATAGAGAGCCAAAACTTCTGCAGACAGTTCTGGCTTTTGTTCCTTTCAACCCTGAAAATGTTTGCCAGAAATATTATCCTTTTTTTATTAAATGCTATAATTTTATATCAAATTTTATATTACGTCACATTTTTTTATTCTGAACCAACCTTGAATAAAATCCTGTTGCCAGTGCTGGTTGGTGTTGGGCTTCTTTTTTATCAGCTCTAAATATCTAACACAGATATACTGCAGAGTTACTCAACAACTGGATGATTTAAACGTGTTTAAAATAATACAGCCAACATAATTTTGGCAGATTTGGCCCTTGAAGATTTGCAGTTATATTTCTATGATAAGAAATATTACTTTTAATCTATCTTGCAATTGCTTAAAGGTTTGAGCTAAGACAGCTTGAGCCTGGACCGAAGAAAAAAACAATTAGACATTCTTTTTCCACTTTAAGGGGAACGCCGTTTTTTTTTTTTTTACATTGGCCCCTTGATTTTACGTTATTACATTATGTTCTAATCACCCATATTAGTTTTGTGTCATTTGGAGCTGTTCTGAAGATATTCCATTAGGTTATATCCAAGTAACGTCTTCCTATGGGCAACGACTTGAAGGCACAAACTAAACTGTTCATAATTTATTCTTTATGGTACGCCAGCATTCATAACATGTAGGCCAATCACTGTCCCCCAGACAACCGCAGTTTTATTTCTTATATTTATATTTTTTTAAAACAAAGCGGAGTGTCTATGACATCATCCGCGCGCCAGCTACCATTCATTGTTCATGTTCGCTGAACTGCTGCTAGTTTTGCTCACATGCCTGGAAGATGTCTAGTGTTACTACCACAGATGATCTCGCTCTAAATTGAATTGAGTTATTCAGATTAGCTAGTCAAATGAATAAAAGGGGTAGAGCGTAGCCAACCGTGCCCCGGGCTGCCTGTCACAACTCCAGTCCGGTGCAGACTGGAGGGGGGATTTTAAAAGTTGCGGATGTAAAAAAAAAAAAAAATTGTGTTCCCCTGTAATAAAGTCTTTACTTGGAATAAAAATATTTTTTTTTACAAAAACATTTAATTGCTTTACCCCGAATAGGTTTCAAAATAAAGTCCTTCTGGTGGCTCAGCTATTTAATGAAAATAGATGTCCAATAAGTGTGAATGAATATACCCTGAAGTATAAGCTTGCTGTAACACCTGGAGTGGAGGTCTTCAACAGGGGGTCCGCGACCCCTAGGGGGTCCATGGAGGTACTGCATGGGGTTCGCAAAAGTTTCGGTTAATTAGACTTTTTTATATTCCCCCCGGCATTCTTTTCCACTAATTGAAATGTCTTTAAATACACATTAACATGAATTCAACACACTGCAGTAAACAGATAAATAGAGGCAGAAGATATCTTTCAGTCATCAATGCGACACACAGGAGCTCTTTAAAGCTGGGCACCGTTTCATTCACAACACCTGTCCCATCAAAAAGGAATCAGAATCCAAAATACTTGAATAATCCCAGGGAGAAATTACTTTCGCTACATTACACCATCTGTAATAGAGAGACTATAGGACCAGTTTGGTATAACAGAATTTTTATACAATATATATAGTTAGGGGATCCCCGCTCCATCTCACCATCAGTTTGGGCCCCAAACTGATGGTGAGATGAAGCCTCATGGGGCATTGAACCGTTTGGCCAAATTGCTTCAACGATCCACACAGTTCATGGTTTTTGGTTGGAATTTGTGTTCAACCAATATTTTGGCTAAACCGACCTAATTTACCCAATCTATATTTTTACTCAGGCAAAACAATGCAAATTAGTATCATCAGGATACTAATCATGCCTCGACACGCGCTTCGGGGAAACGCCCCCTCCATTACTCAACACACGCCTCGAAGCCTCGGCTCATCTCATAACATCACTAGTTTGGGGCCCTTGGCCTGGAAAACGTTAAAGAACATTTACGAAAGTTTTTTTTTTTTTTTTAAGGTGTTAAACTCCTGCCAAAAATCAGAAGAGCGTATAGACAGCATAATTTATGCTTGAAACAATTTTTTTTTTTTAAAGCATCATTGCTTCGTTTCTTGTTTACCACTAGGGGGCAGCAAAACCACACTATGATTTGAGATCCATTTTAAAGTTCCATGTTCCTAGCAGGAGTTTATCAGCTCCTTGGTATTTCCGTTACTGTGGTTTTACACTGTAAACCCAACACCTAGCTTATTTATAATGTGCTATAATTATTATTTTTACAGGGTGAGATAAAACAAGCTTTATGAACGTTGTTATCAGCTACATTTAACAAAGATTTACTTTCAACTTTTTTTATAGCGCCTAATTCCTGCTAAAACTCAGACAACATTTTTGTTTGAAACAACAAAAAAACATCCCCAGCTTTGATTCCTTCGTTTCTTTTTTAACACTAGGGGGCAGCAAATACCACACTTTATTTTGAGAATACCTTCAGAGTTCCTTGTTCCTGGCGGGAGATTATCAGCTCCTTTGTATTTACGTAATTGTGGTTTTACACTTTAAACCCAACACTTGGCTTGTTTTATGTATTTATTTGTAAGCAAGCTAAATATCTGTATAGAAATAGAGCATTCTGTTAACCAGCTCTGGTTCTTCGGTCTTAACCCGCTGTTTTACAACTTCCTGGTTTTAATGTGAGCGCGGTGTTTAAGAAGGAAACACGAGAGAAAAGGAGGAGCTCAGAAATCAGCTACTCAACGTTTTTTACCTGAGTAATAGCGATCTATCCCAGCATGTCTTCCAAAGATATAATTAGGAAAAATAAAACCAAACTTCAGGAAATCTTTTGTGGAGACTACAACCTTATCCTCAACAAGGTTTATGAGAAGGAACTGATAACTCAGAGGGATTACAACAACCTGAAGAGACTTAGACTTAGACTTAGACTTAGACTTCTTTATTTGTCATTTTGTATGCACAGGGTGCATACAGAACGAAATTGCGTTACATACAGCTTATGAACGTTGCATTGATATTTCAAATGGCACGAGTTATAGAAAAATACAAAAAGTGCAGCAGTGGTCAAAGTGTGAACAGTGCAGAGGATAAGAGACAGTGTGCAAGTTGCAGTGGTTCAGTGCAAAATGGCATTTGTGCAAAAAATGCGTTATTGAAAAATACAATGAGATGAACAATTTAAAGGGCTAAAAGTTAAAAGTTCAGCAGCATTTGATGCCCGATAATGTGCAACAAGAGCATCAATAAGGAAAATGTGAGCGGCCACGTTACAGAGCTGGTGGATAAGATCATGAATAGATCAGACAAAAACTGCAAGGACTTCCTGGACCTCCTGCAAACTGATGAGGCTGTTAGAGAAACTTTTCCTGACCTGGAGAACCTCCAACTTAGTGGCACCAGTGTTTTACCAGCGCCAGTCCAAACCACCTCACCTGATGAAGGTATTTCAAGTCACTTAGGATTGAGGCCTAATTTTCCTGCCACAGTTTTATTTATGTTTGTTTCAATTTCACTTAGGGAACACCATGACACTGCCTGTAGGCAACAACCCGTTACAGCTCTCGCCAACAATTCCAGAAACATCGAGTCAAAGTGGGACTGGCCACCTGTCCAGGGTGTACACTGCCCCTCACCTATTGACAGCTGGAGATAGGCACCAATACCCCTCGCGACCCTACTTGGTATTAAGTCAGAGTGCAAAACGCAAAAGAAGGTGAGATCCTACTCTTGAGACGATATGCTGTGTTTAAGCATCCTGAAGTAGGATTTAAATAGGATTTAATTAAAGAAACAGTTCTGGTTATTCCTTTAACTTAATGGTTGTTTTTCTTTATTTTTCCAATTTCTCACTTTCTAACAATTCTGAAGTCTTCCTTTATATGGGGGAGAGCTGGTTAACGGAGGTACCCTGGCTCAGACCAAATGGGCCGAGGCATCCATCTCCTTCGATTCTGCAGAGATGGAGCCCAAAGCCAAAAAACGAGCCAAGAAGGTGGTGGAGAAAAAGGCTCCTGCCAAGGCTAAGAAGCCAGCCGCCAAGAAAGCCACGACCCCTAAAATAAAGGCCCCTGCCAAAGCTAAGAAGCCAGCCGCCAAGAAAGCCACCATCCCTAAAAAAAAGGCCCCTGCCAAAGCTAAGAAGCCAGCCGCCAAGAAAGCCAACGCCCCTAAAAAAAAGGGCCCTGCCAAAGCTAAGAAGCCAGCCGCCAAGAAAGCCACCGCCCCTAAAAAAAGGCCCCTGCGAAAGCTAAGAAGCCAGCCGCCAAGAAAGCCACCACCCCTAAAAAAGGACCCTGCCAAAGCTAAGAAGCCAACCGCCAAAAAAGCCACACCCCTAAAAAAAGGACCCTGCCAAAGCTAAGAAGCCAACCGCCAAGAAAGCCACACCCCTAAAAAAAGGACCCTGCCAAAGCTAAGAAGCTAGCCGCCAAGTAAGCCACCACCAAAAAAAGGGCCCTGCCAAAGCTAAGAAGCTAGCCGCCAAGAAAGCCACCACCCCTAAAAGAAGGCCCCTGCAAAAGCTAAGAAGATAGCCGCCAAGAAAGCCACCACCCCTAAAAGAAGGCCCCTGCCAAACCTAAGAAGCCAGCCGCCAAGAAAGCCACCATCCCTAAAAAAAATTCCCCTGCCAAAGCTAAGAAGCCAGCCGCCAAGAAAGCCAACGCCCCTAAAAAAAAGGGCCCTGCCAAAGCTAAGAAGCCAGCCGCCAAGAAAGCCACCACCCCTAAAAAAAAGGCCCCTGCCAAAGCTAAGAAGCCAGCCGCCAAGAAAGCCACCCCCCCTAAAAAAAAGGCCCCTAAGTAGCTAGCCGCCAAGAAAGCAACCACCAAAAAAAGGGCCCTGCCAAAGCTAAGAAGCTAGCCGCCAAGAAAGCCACCACCCCTAAAAAAAGGACCCTGCCAAAGCTAAGAAGCCAGCCGCCAAGAAAGCCACCACCCCTAAAAAAGGACCCTGCCAAAGCTAAGAAGCCAACCGCCAAAAAAGCCACACCCCTAAAAAAAGGACCCTGCCAAAGCTAAGAAGCCAACCGCCAAGAAAGCCACACCCCTAAAAAAAGGACCCTGCCAAAGCTAAGAAGCTAGCCGCCAAGTAAGCCACCACCAAAAAAAGGGCCCTGCCAAAGCTAAGAAGCTAGCCGCCAAGAAAGCCACCACCCCTAAAAAAAGGACCCTGCCAAAGCTAAGAAGCCAGC